TTTAAAAATCAAAAATTTATTTAAATAATAATAATACTAATAATAATAGTAATAAAATTAATAATAATAATAATTACAAACGCACAAATTAATTTAAAAAAAAAAAAATTCGCGCACAAATTACAATTTTCCTCTCCTTTTATTCTTTTCTCCAGGAAAATTAATAAAAAAAAAAAAAAAAATACGTTGATAAATCAGGTGCGATGATAAACGATCGTTCGGAAAATAATAATAATAATAATAGTTCGATTAATAATAAAAACAATATAAACTAAAATAATAAACTCCGTACGAAAATCATATCAAATATATATGTATATGTATAATTCCATGATAAAATGAAATAAATGTCCGAATATTAAAATCGATGTTGCCGTTATCCCTCCTGGAGTCAAAAAAGAACAAAAAGTTTTTAAGCCTGGAGCGTAAAATTAATATGGCGTCGATATATAGACCAATAAGGAAACGTAAAATAAAAGGCAAATGTTTTTTAACCATTCAGATTTTATGTATTAATAACATCACGCCTTTATTATTTTCAAATTGATATAATTTTAAATGGGGGGAAAATTTTCTAATAAGAATTACAAAATGCAGAAACCCTCTTTTCTTTTTTAATAAATTACGTAATAATATTTTTTTTTAATAAATAAAAAATAGATTTATTAAAATTTAATAATTACCGTAATAAAATTTATAAATTTTTTGAACACGCGTTTTAAATAAAAAAAACAATAATAATAATAATTATTTCAAAGAGAGTTTTCTCCATGATAATTTTGTCGTTAGAAAATCAAACTCGCTGTAATATTACTGGAAAAAACGCCCACGAGGTTAACTCCGCCCCCTTTTTCTTTTTTCCACAATAACTCCGTGTAAAAATGTTTTCCAAAAATATATATAAAAAATAAAATAAAAATAAAAATTTTATGACTTGTAAAAAAAACCGTTTTACACATATGTTAAACATACGTTAAAACGTTTTTTTTAATTTTTTTTTTTCGAAAAAAAAAACAGTAAAAAACGTTCAGGAAAAAAAAAGTTTATATCCACGAAGTGATCCGGAAAAAAAAAAAAAAATTGATATTATTATTATCATTTTTTTTTTCCTACGACGCTATCATCATTTTACCGAAACAATAATTGCTGATAAAAATTATTTAATCTTCGTACATGATAATTATTATTAAATAAAAAAAAAAAACTCACTACAAACTCCCCCCTTCCCCCCCCCCAAAAAAAAAAAAAAAACTGGAAAATTTTTTTTTTTAAACAAACGAAACATTGATAAAACTGGAATTAATCCGTTCGAAACAAAACAAAAAATAAATAAAACTATAAAATTATTCATAAAAAATAAAATAAAATATTTGATTCGTAACAACAACCACAACAACAAACACAAACGCGTAGAAATAAAAAGGATAGGGATAAAATGGAGATATAATTTTTTAAAATTAAACATATAAATCTTTAAGGGTAAAATGAATAAAAGGTCTATACCGTTTTCCAGTATGACTGGAAACTATGGTCTTACGTTTAACTCACGATAAATTTTTTTTATAATATAAGTTACGATGTTTTTGCACGTACGAAAAAACACACAACACACACACACGCACATACACAACACACACACGCACTCACGCACACATTTAGTAACGTGGAAAGATAAGGCAAATACATACACATACGAGAGAGAGAGAGAGAAAAGTTTAAGAGTGTAAAAAATGTATACGAATGGTAAAGGATCTCTAGTGTGAAAGGCACGGCCCACCAAACCGGTCATTCAGAATATACAACGAGAAGACTAGACAACCGTGAATTCGTGTAAAAAAAAAAATCCATCCATCCGTGCACGAAACCTTGCCAACCAACCGATAAATTTATATCTAAAATCCTTCGAACCGAAAAGAGTAGTTTATGGTTTTTCGACGGTTAACACTTTAAAGCAATCAACTGGGTAATCGTTTGGAAAAACAAAAAAAAAAAAAAAATAACGGAAAACTTCTTCGTTTGTGTTTTAATAAAAAAAATTTTTTTTTTTTTTTCGGGGAGGTTTATTGCAAAATTTTTCTCGTTATTCGCATACGAGAGAAAAAGAAAAAATAAAAAAATTTTTTAAACTAAACAGTTCGGATAAAACGGAATCAATTTTTGTTCGTTTTTTTTTCGGAAAGTGATTTTATAATAATAATAATAGTGAAAAAGTGTGTGATAATAGTGATAATTGTATACTTATTAATAATTTTATTTATATATCGATCGATTTAGTTATTTATTAATTATTATTATTATTATTATTTTTTTTGTTTTTTTTTTTGTTTTCATCATCATGACTTTAAGAAAATTCACGCCGTTTTATTATTTAAGTAAGTATTTATTATTTCTCTTATTCATTTTTATATATATTTTATCGTTTTTTAGAATGATATTAATAATAATAATAATAATAATGACGTTCGTTTTGTGTGTGTGTTTGTAACTTAATGTAGAAAACCGTTCGGTTAAAAAAATTTTCTTTTTTTTTTTTCTATAAATAAATTTACGAAAAAATTAGAAATGAAAGTTAAATAATAATTTTTTATTTAAAAAAAAAAATTACGCGCGTTTTTGATGTGAAATAAACAAAAAATACGCGAGCGTTAATTTTTTAAATAGACAAAATAAAAAAAAACGAAACTAAAATTATAAAACGTGGAGCAGAAAAGAAATTTTTTAAAAATAATTATTATAACGATAAAAATTTTCTATGTTTCCGCCGGAAGTTGTTGACAAAAACAAAAATTATATAAAAACGACGAAAATTTTTAGCGAAACGATTCTTAAAAAAAAAAATTACGTAAAGTAAAATTAAATTTTATTCGACTTTAATAATAAATTTTTAATTTTTTAAAATTTGTTTTAATGTTAAAAAAAAATTCCAGCATTTTCCAGCGTTTTCCAGTAGTTTCCAGTAGTTTCTAGGGTTTTATAAAATGTTTCATAACGTAATTTTTTTTTTTTTTTTATAAATTTTGAAACGATAAGATTTATATATTATTCGATTCGGAAAATTTTAAATATATAATTTCTTTTTTTTTTTATTTACGAAAATTATTATTATTATTATTATTATTATTATTATTATTATTATTAAAAAAAAAGGTGCGTTATCAGTAGTTATCAGGTTCGTTAAAAAACAAAAACAATCCGTCGTTTTATCAAATTATTACAATAACATCACTACAACGTATTTCCTACCAAAAACAAAAAAATTCTTTGAGATGCATCATTCACAACGACGGCAATGTTACCAACATTTCAAATTTAAAATTTCTCACAGAATCCAAACGTGAAAACGTAACAAAACAAAAAAAAATCATTTCGGAAAAATCAAAAACCGAGGAAAATTTTTAAAACAACAAACATCAAATTTAAAAATCAATTATTTATTTAAAATTAATTTAACGGTTATTCTATAAGTGATAACCGTTATCAATCGTAACCGCCGGAACTGATAATAATCGCCGCCGATCGTCATCATCATTAAAAAAATTTTCTTTTTTTTTTTTTTTTAAATATAAAAATAATTTTGGCGCCAAATTAAAAAAAAATAATATTAAAAAAAAATGTCTAAAAAATAATTAAAAAAAAAGGTTACGATAAAATATATTTAAAAGAGAGAAAGAGAAAGAGAGAGAGATAGAAAATGACAAATATCACGAGGGGCCAAAAAAAAAAGGTTAAAGACCTTTTCTAAAAAGTGTCATTAAACAAAAAAAAAAAATTTTAATTTTATTATACCTGAAAAATTTTCATTTAAAAAAAGAAAAATTAATAATTTCGTTCATTTATTTCCTGTTATCAAAACAAGAAAAAAATTGATAACGCGCGTTTTTGTAATAAAGTAATTGATGAAAAATTAAAGGGACCCTCCATCCGCCCCCCCAAAAAAAAGTAAGGAATACTACAAAATTATTATTTTATTATCCCGTGATAATAATAATGATAAATTTAAATCACCACCCCCGCAGATCAACAACAAAAAAACATAAAACATAAAACAAATAAAAACAAATCGTTAAGAAAAAAAAATTTTTTTATATTTTCTCTTTCTCTCTCTCTCTCTCTCTCTCTCCGTCTTCTACTTGTCTTATTTGTGTTGAGAGAGAGAGAGAAAGAAAAAAAAATTTTTTTGTTTACGTAACAAAACATGACCTAAACCTTTTTTTTTATTTATTTATTTGTTTTTTTTTCTACTCGATTTTACTTGATAATAATTAAATTTATATTAAATATAATAATAATGATAATAATAATGATAGTAATAATAATGATAATGATAATACGGCATAGGGTTTTATTTATTAAAAAAAAAACGCGCGTAAATTATTATTTTTTCGTGGATTTAAATTAAAAAACAAAAAAAAAAAAAAATTGCGGTAAAGTGTTTGTTTTTTTGTTTGTTTGTTTGTTTGTTGTTTTAAAAAATTGTTTGTTTGAAAAAATGTCTTCTCCAGTCAGAAGACAACTTTTTTTTTTTAATGTCAAGTATATATATATGGTCAAATGAAAGGTTGAATGTTTAAAAGGTTTTAACAAAAGATTGGAACCATTGGAAAATTGGAGTGGTTCGTTTTGATCATGTTGTTTTGAACAAAAAAAAAAAAAAAGAAGAAATAATTGGCGAGGTTCCATTGAAAGGGACAAAAAAAAAAGAGAGAGAGAACGCAATTACTGGAAATGAAAAAAAAGGAAAGGAAAAAGAGGAAAAAAGGAAAAAGAAATAAAAGAGACACTCCGGAAAATGAGTTGCATGACTAAATGCACAAGGAAAAAATGGATGATAGGTAAAGGTGGAGGGTACTTGGACATGCCAAGGACATGCTTTTGAGCGTGTGGGGGGAGGGAGGGAGGGGGTGGTGATACGATTAAGAGAAAAGTTTCTTTTTCGGCTTTTTTACAGTCAGTCAGTCATCTTCCTTCTCTCTCTCTCTCTCTTTAATTGCTTCAATGGTTTAATCAGTAACAAAATCTAGACATATCTTAATTACTTTTATGTCGTATGATTGTGTGGTAGGGATCTCGTACGGGATCTTTTTTAAAAACATTTCACGATAATAATAATAATAGTTTTCCCGAAAGGCACTCCAATTTAAATTGTGATTTTTCCTTTTTTTCTTCGACAGAATTCTTTCTGAATAAGTAACCGACGGCACGCTGGGCGCGAGTGTGTTACTTGCCGGCCGTTTGGAGGCCGATTCATCTTCCTCAAAAAGTTCTAATACGACAACAGACAAAACGTTGTTGGGAGCAAGTCTCGCTTTGGCGGGTTCGGCCAGAGAGCCCTGTGCTGCTGCTGAAGCATTTTGGAAAATGCCACATAAGGGTAAGTCTATCATCATTATTATTATTATCATAAAACGAAACAAGGTTCAATATTATAGGTTGTTGTCCTTCTCAAGGGTTCACTACCCTCACGTTACGCCATTTCTATTCTTTTTCACTAACGAAAAAAAAAAACCATCACAAACAATGTACTGTTAGTTACCTTCGATTATTATTATTATTATTAATTTTACAATAAAAAGAAAGAAACTATTCATCCCTCTTCTTCTTAAAATCATCATCCCTTAAAAAAAAATTCCAACCATTATTGTTCTTAAACCTTTTGTTTTATTTACTTTTTCTCTTGCCAAAAAAAAATTTTTTTCGACAACGGATTAACCTCTTTTAAAAAATCTTTTGCCAAATTTTTGTCAAAATGTCATTGACCTCAAAAAATAATTACAGAGGCTTCATAATAATAGTAATAATAATAATAATAATAATAACGATATAAGTTATTGAAAAATCTTTTATATAATTTAATTAATTACTTATCGAATTTTTTATTAGGAAAACAAACGAATTTTAAAAACAAAACTATTAAAAAATTTACAAACGATACTCATCGATCGATCGATCGAATGATTGGTTGATTGATTGATTGATTGATCGATGAGAATTATGTAAATGTGGTAATTAAATACGTCATCATCACATCGATAACTCAAAGACAAAAAATTTTTTTCATTTTTTTTTTTTTTTTTTCATCACGCCAAATATTTTCTTTTTCGTTTGTCTTTCGTTTGTTTGTTTGTTTGTTTTTACCGCTCAGAAAAAATAAAATAAAAAACGAGTTTAAATAAATTTTTTTTTTTTTTTTTAACGAACTGTGTTGAATTAATCACCATTTTATATAAAAAAAAAAAAATTTTCTTTTATTTTTCATCGTCGAGCGCATGTCAGCCGGTCACGCATTCGAGCATTAACTTAACAAGTTTTCGACAAAATCTACAAATGCAAGAGAGCGCAAGCAGACGCCTTTTTTTTTTTTTTAAAATAAAATTTTCTCTTAAACGTCATAAATAAAAAATAATAAAATCAATGATTGACTAACTGACTGAATGACTGAATGAATGACTAACTTTATATAAACGACGACAAATTTCACATCCTTTTATTTTTCTATTTATACGTAATGACGACGATGAAAATAATAATATTATTATTTATTATAAATTTTTAACGTAAAAAAGAGAAAAGAGAATGGGAGGAGGGGGAAGGAAAGGGAGAAGTTAAAAGAAAGAATATGATGAAGATGATGAAAAATAAGAGTTTTTTACACGAGAAATGTTAAATTCAAATGAATTTCTTTTTTATTAATATAAAAATATCTTAGCAACATTATCTCAAGTATAAAATTAATTTCTAAAAACCTTTTATATTGATTTAGGCTTTACGGTGAAATGTAAATGAAATTTTACAAGCGTTTCGTGAATGCGAACTTTTTCCTTATTTCTTATCAAAAAATATAATAAAAACTAAGTTTTAAGTGATAAGAACAAAAACAAAACAAAAAACGCTCGCGTGACACGTGGATATTTTTTTTTAAACGCGATCATCTTTGAAAATAATTTTATTATAAGATTGTACGAGGAGGAAGGAAGGAAGGAAAATAATCCATCGATGTGTGACGTCATACATCCGCGAGCGTGATGGAGAGAGAGAGAGAGAGGTTGACAAACGTTAGATTAACAAACAACCAAAAAAAATAAAATTTTTTTTCAAAGCGAACGTTTAACGTTCGTTTCCGTCATAGAATCCGTTCGTTTATAACCCGAATCCATAACACGTTAATTAAAAATTTTTCCAAGGTGAAAATCAAATATTAAAAAGAAAAGCGAGAAGGTTTTCCTTCTTCTTCTTCTTCTTCCTTTTTTCTTTTTTTTACAATAATCATTTTCCGTTTCCGTTTTATTTATTTCCTCGACGACAAACAACAACAACAAAAAAAAAAAATTAAATTCGAATTTTATTATTATTAGAAATTTTTCTTTTGTCATCTCTCTCTCTCTTCCTCTCTCTCTCCCTCTCTCTTCCTCTCTTTCTTTCTTCCTCTCTCTCTCTCTCTCTCTCTTTCTCGATAAAAAACGAAGAATTGTATGGTGTGGCGGTATGGAAGCACCAACGTACTCGCACGGTTTACTTTAATTTTTAAAAAAATTTTTTAAAGCGAATTTTATGCGAACGAATGCGTACGTATATTTACATGCGTACCTTCCTTCCTTTCTTTTTTTGCCTCTTCCTCTTCCCCCCTACTCCTTCTCCTCCTCCAGGAAAACGTTAAAAAAAAAAAAAATTGTGTAATTACAGATGTCGTTGAGCGAAAAAGCTTTTGATCGTTGAACCGTAAGAGTATATGAGGCGGTTGTTACGATTATGCCACCGCCTTTTCACCCACTCCCCTCCCCTCTTTCTCTTCCTCCCCAACGCCCTACACCCCCACGTACCCCCTCCCCATCTTAAATAATTTAGAATTCTCTAATATATATATATATATATATATATATATATATATCCGTATTTATTAGAAAATGTGATCAAAGTACAGAGCACGTGACATAGAGTTCTTTAACGCTACCATCACCATCACCACCACCACCACCGCCACCACCATAACCATCACTCCAGTCACACCCTTTAGTGACGACAAATACCACAAATTGTTCCTTTGACAATCTTTGCTTTTTTTTTTGCACAATTTTCCGGGGGTTTTTTTTTTTCCTTTGGCATAGTTATTAATTGCCTTTGGAGCGTTGCTTTATTTTTTTGTCCTAGTACTTAACCCCTCTCTCTCTCTCTTTTTAACTCTCTCTCTTTTTTTCTTACCCTTCACACGCGTACTTTCTCTCTCTCTCTCTCTGAATCCCAATACGAGTTTTCTCCCTTTCTTTACGATAAAAAAAAAAATTCTTCTGTTTTCCACGCGTCGGTTCTCGTTATGGTTATATACAATTGGCTAATTGCATTGACAGTCGTCGTCGTCGTCGTCATCGTCTCTCCTCTTTTGTAATCCACACGAAAAAAACGGGAAAAAATTAAATAAAAGGGAGAAACATAATTTTTCCGGATACGGTGAAACGATTTAAAAAAAAAAAATGCTTTGTAACGATGGTGACAATTAAAAAAAAATTTTCCGAAAAGAAAAATTATTAATAATAATAATAATAATAATAAAAAGAAAATTTAATAGAATCCACGACGATGGCGTCACACCATAAAATTTGTGATTTTAATCTAAAATTAACAAAATCCATTTTTGATGGAAAATTTTTAAAAGATTTTTCACTTTTTTTTTTCATTTCGTCGATAAAATTTTCTCAAAAAAAAAAAAAAAGAAATCCCTAACCGTTTTCCCCGAGATTTTCTGAACACTGAACAAATATTGACTTCAAGGTCACTCACTTTTGTAAATTTACAATCTCTGACCTTATATTTTACCCGAGAAAAAAATTGTCAAGAGAAAAATATAAAATTATAATAAAAAAGATAAAAAGGAAAATTCAACGAAACAGAGCAAGAGAGAGAGAAAGAGGACGTAGAAGACAGAGAACGAGAGAAAAAGAGAGAGAGAGAGACAAAGAGACAAAGGCGGAAAAAAGTTTTTAGACTGTTAAAAAAAAATTTTTTCTGGAAGTTTTTATTGTCTTATTGATAATTTAACCGGAAGAACATAATTAATAATAATAATAATAATGATAATAATGAAATTATTTATCCCTTAACACAGTATACAAACAAACGAACAAACAAAATCAATCAATTTTTTTTTTTTATATACTGGAGAATAAAAAAACCCAATTAAGGCGTTAAATTTTTTTTTTTTTTTGTAATTCTGGAATTGATTCCATGACAATAAAAGGAAATAAACCAAAAAAAGGTGAAATTTCCAGTAGAAATTTTATACTGGATAACATGCCAAGCTCTCTCTTCTTCACTTTAGTCGTTCCCGTGTTTGTTGACATGGAAACCCCTTTGCGGCGCCGAAAACGTGCGTGCATCTCTTAGAAACGTTAAAAAAAAAACGTTTACCCATGTTAACCATACTTAACTTCCAGTTTATCTTTTGCCCGAGGTAGGCGAGACAGACACACACACATACACGCACGCACACGTACACGCACAAACGCACCCCTAACAAAAAGCGCGGGCGTGCCCCGTAAAAAAAAAAGGATTTAACAACGATTTCTTTTTATTTTTTGTCTTGTAAGGTAAAAATGTGATTCGTTTTTGTTTTTCATAAGGGTTGATTCCACTCGCTTACATCTTAAATTGCATTAGTAGTACTAGATAGGAATGGCGGTGACGGTGACGTAGATGACGACGATGACTACAACCATTCGTACCAAAGTTTTTTGTACCCATTTAACTCTTTTTTTGTTTGTTTGTTTGCAGATGATTCCCTTCATTGCACGAGCACGTCCGCAGCAACTTTGGCACACACTTCGACAATATTCGGGTGCAGTGCTGCCGGACACAGCGGTATCAACCAATTGGGTGGCGTTTACGTCAACGGTAGGCCTTTACCAGACAGCACAAGGCAAAAAATTGTCGAACTCGCACATTCCGGTGCAAGACCATGCGACATATCGAGAATATTACAAGTATCCAATGGATGCGTATCGAAAATATTGGGGAGGTAATACCGGAAATCGATTCTTCGCCAAATGGAAATCACTTCGGACAAGAAATAATTTTTTAAATTTTTTTAAATTTATAATTTAGATACTACGAAACGGGTTCTATCAAACCTAGAGCCATTGGTGGTTCTAAACCAAGAGTCGCGACAACACCTGTAGTTTCAAAAATAGCTGATTACAAACGTGAATGCCCATCGATATTTGCATGGGAAATACGAGATCGTTTACTATCGGAGGGTGTTTGTACAAACGACAACATTCCAAGTGTAAGTAATATTTTCTCTTATTTTTAATTAATTGATTAATTTTTCCCTATTACGACTACCATCGTCCTCCTACCCCACCCTCCACTCCCCTCCCAACGATATATAAAAAAAAAAGGAAGAAAGAAATATATTTAATTGTTACGATGATTATTGTTGTTGCGAAAAAAAAAAAAAATTTTCAAATAACAAATAAAGGGAACTTTAAATGAGAGAGAGAGAGAGAGAGAGAGAGAGAGAGAGAGGGAAAACGTACACACTTTTACGTATGTGTGAGTGTGTGTGCTGCACTTTTTGGGACAGATGTTTCATAATGTATAATCTTATTTTTGATTAAAGTTTAATTTTCAAAAAATCATTCGAATGGAAATTGTATACTTAACCTCTTTTACGTATATAATAGCATTAAGACTTTTTTTTTTTATTGATTCTTCTTAAAAATTTTCTTATTTTGTACTGTTGTGAGTGCGTGAGTGCGTGCGTGTGTACGTATTACCTTTTTTTTTTTTAAAAATATGTAAGAAAAATTATCAAAGAAAATGGATTTTGTTCAATACGATTCTCCTTAGTATAATAATAATAATAATAAAAAAGAAATACTTGAACATCTGTATGAATGAATACACTTGAAAATCAAACAATGCCATGTGAAAAATCATCATTTTTCCTATCATTTATATCGAATTTTTTTTAAATAGTTAAAGATTTTATTATAACCTTTTGACGTCATCAACATCATCATCATCATCATCTTTTTTTTATTGTCTCGAAAATTTTGCAAAAAGGAAAAAGGAAAAAAAAAAAAATTGTGTCAAAGGTTTTTTGAAGGTTATCGAAATGAAGTTGGAATGAATTATGTAAAAGGTTTCGTCAATTTTATATCCTTTTTCACGATGATGATGATGATTATAATGATGATGATGTTAAATATTATTATTATTACTATTAATATCATTATTATTAAAAATGTGCATAGTTTCTCTTTTAACGTATCAAAGGGCGAAAAAAAAATTTTTGTCATTGCAATTTCATTTTTTCCTTTTTTTCCTTTTAATATAAGTTTTTTCCTTTTTCCCACTTTTTTTATCTCATTCTTTCTGTCTCTTTCCCTCTCTCTCTCTCTCTCTCTTTCACTCATTCCTTTTTAATGTCCAAAACGAAATCGATTTAATTAAAACAAAACCGGTGGTAAAAAAAAAGAAAATTTTTTTTCCAATTTATTTTTTTATTATAAATTTTATAATAAAAATCAAAGGAAAAAAAAAAACCTTTGACACATACAACCTACGCTAGCTCCTTCCCTCCCCCTCTTCCTACCTTCCTCCTCCCCCTTCGACAATTTATTCTAACAGAATACGAGTATGAGTACGTTAAAAAAAAACTCGCGCCATTTTGCTTTTTCGTTCGTTAATAATCACTTTCGAATCGGTTAAATAAATAATTTATTTATTTATAAAAAAATAAACTCTCTCTCTCTCTCGTTTTAATAACTAAATAAAACCGGAAATTATTATTATTATTAAAACGGGAAAATGAATGACGAAAAAATTATTTTTTTAATCGTGTTTTTTCGATAAAAAAAAAAGAAGAAAAATCAATGAAAAAAAATTTTCACGTACACGAATGTAAGAGAGAAAGAGAGAGAGATAGAGATAGAGAGAGGATGTAATGTTAAATCGGTAGGGATGCTGGAGAAAGAAAAAATAAATAAATAAATAAATAAAAACTACTGGAGCATATAATGGATGGGAAGGAAAGAATAAAATGAAAACAAAAAGAAAAATAAGTAAAAGTGGAAAAGAAGAATCAAAGATAATGGTCTCCAGAGAGAGTGAGAGAGAGAGAGTGAGTGAGTGAGAGGGTGGTGGTGGTAAAAATGGATGAAAAAAAAAAGTCTTTGGTCAAATAAATTGATTCTCAAGTTGACCTATTAATGTTTGTTTGTTTAAAAAAAACAAAATGGATGAGAAATAACGAAAAAAATTTTTATTTTTTTTTTTGAGTTTCGTTTAAAAACCAGGTGATGTGAGAGAGAGAGAGAGAGAGAGAGAGAGAGAGTTTTTCGTATAATTTTATTCCACGAAGGGTGCAAAATTATTCGCTGGAAAAAAAAGAAAGAAAGAAAACGTTTCGTGTAAGTTACATAATTTACAATGTAACCTTTCCCAAAGTTTTTTTTTTTTAAACACACACACATAGTATCGGGTTCATTAGCATTACATTAAATGTTTTAACTCTTGAATTCCTTTTTTTTTTTCCTCTTCCTCTCACCGCTCTTCCCATTTTTCACCACACCCTTCTTCCTCCAACCCTCTTTTAATATTTTCATATAATAAGAAACTTTTGGCCATTCTTCGAGTGCAATGAAATTTCATCACAACTTTTTTCCAATTGATTAAACGTTTTCGGGCGTGTAAAACATTAAATTACTTGCAATATCATGTTGTAACTCTTTGTTATTATTCAAGTAATAAATCATTTTATACTATTTCAAAAACGTGCCTTTTTTTTTTTTTAACACTCTTGAGGGATCATCATCATCATCATCATCATCATTATCATTATTGTTACTATGTTTTAAGGGTGAAAATTTTTGATTAATGTTATTTTCGGTTACGTATTACTTAATAAAAACGTTTTTTTTAATTTAAATTTGTCTAAATGTTTGTTCGTCCGTTCGTCTATTATTATTATTATTATTATTATTATTATTATTATTACAAACGGATTTATTAATTAAAAAAAAAAAAAAAATTACGCGCGTAAATGATAATGATAATGATGAAATTTTTAGAAAAATCGAAAGAAGAAAGAATATTCACGAATTTTCCTATTTTTTTGTTTTTTGTCTTTAGTTTAAATAAAATTTTTTTAAATTTTTTTTGCTATGGTTAAAGAGTTTAAACGTTCGTTAAATTTGCTACGAATCATTTTTTTTGCTACCCGGAAAATATATCTAAGTCTCGCTCTCTCTTTCCCCTTATTCTTTTTTGTGTTAAAAACGTGTAATTTTTTTTTTTAAATTTAAATATTGTTCCGTGTGACTGTACGTATTATTTCCCTTCTTCCCATTCATTCCCCCGTATCCCGCTCTCCTCCCTCTCCAACACCCTCCTTTTTTTATATTCCCAAATTTAAAATAACGTTCACAAATATTCCGCAATTAAAATTCTGGATGAACAAATATAAAACAAGAAAGAATATTATATATATATGGATTCGGTGAATTCGGGTTTTTCATTATCGATTACATTATACCCTCCCCCCCTGCTGATTTGAATACCTCCCACCGACCGCCACGTTTTGTTTCCTCGTATCCCGAAAAACCACCACCTCCCCGCGAGATACAAAAAAAATCGTTCCCGTTGTGTCCCTGTTCTCTCTCTCTCTCTCATCCTATCGCCACAAAAACTTATTATTCAAAACCAATTTATTTTATTCTAAGACCCCCTTCCTTCCCCCCACCCATCCCCCTTTCCTAATCTCGCCACTGCGCGCGCCCCCCTCCCACGGTTTGCTTAATCGATTATGGAAGCATCAATGACTCGGTTACCTTTCACAAATTTAAATATCATTTACGTTATTTACATAAAGCGAAAGAGAGAGAGAGATGGATAAATACAAGCTCACAAAAACACGAAAAAGAGAGAGAGAGAGAGAAAGTTTAATTAATGACGTAGCGAAAAAATTTAAAAACGTTAAAAGTCTTTTTTTTTTACGTATAATAAAACAAAACCTTAGGAAAAATTCTATTATTAATAATAATAAGTATTAATAATTATTAATTATTATTTATTATTATTATTATTACTCACCTATTAAAAAAAAATTTAAATAAAGTTTATTAATTAATAATCGATTAATAAATATAAGTTTATCTAGGCATGAAAAAATTTTAATTGAAATAATTATTAATCGAAAACAAACTTTTTTAACTTATTAAAGTTATTAAAAATTTTTTTTTTATTTTTATTGTATTATCATCATTATCATTATCATTATTATTATTATTATTATTTTAAATAAATAAAATTTTCCGCAGTCTGGAAAAAAATAAAAAAAAAAATTTTTTTCTCGATATAAAAAGGCATGGAAAATTTTTTTTTTAAATTTATCGTGGAATCAGTGAAAATTATTAAATTTAAAAAAAAGGCCTCCCATCGAAAAGAGAGATAGATAGATAGATAGTAAGAGAGGGGAGATAGAGAGAGAGAGAGAGAATAGAAAAAAAAATATATATATGTGTATTCGAAGGCTATTATAATATGTTTAAACAATGAAATTTCTATAAATTGATCCATTAGTCGCCATTTTTGTGAGAATACCTCTACAGCATCCTGCTGTAGAGATGGGGGAGTAAAATGCCTGCGCAGTGAAGCGAAAGTTCCCCCGTACTGCTCATCGTTAGGGGAGCTCTTCCACGGTAATCGACCCTAACACATCTGCTACAGAAAATTCTATTCTACTAATATTTTTCCTTTTTTTTTTTTAACTCCAGAAGCCATTTTTTTTTTTTTTAAATTACAACTTTCACCGCATACGTAATCAATTGTATAAAAGAATTTTTTTTTCGCGGGGGGCACAGCGTGGGAGGGTTTTTTTAATTTTACAAAACGAACGTTGAAAAAAAAAAAAAATTTCGTGACGTACAAGCAGGTGTTCCTTTCTCTCTCTCTCAACATATCATTAATTAATAAATGTATCATCTTAAGGGACCTCTCCCCCTCCCTTTTTTTTAATCTGACCAATGATCAAACACAACAATGACGTTCGAAAAAAAAAAATGTCCGAACGGATTCGAATTTTTTTTTTTTTTCTCGAAAGGATTAAAAAAAAAAAATGCATTTTCGTCGAGGGGGTTGATTTTTTTTTTCCTTTTGTAAATTAGCAGATATTTTTTATACGTAGTTATGCAGGGCGCGCATAAACACGCACACACGCACGCACACACACACACACGCACTTACGTATGCACCCTTGCCTATTTCACATTTGACCGATTTTCAATGGCTCACATGGTTAAATGATCCTATTCAAAATCAACGTTCGCTCATGCATTAACCAGTTATTGGCACCTTAAAAAAAATGTTTTAACTCATCAAAAATATCCATGCATAATAAGTCTTCTTATTTTTAAATTGTATTCTTTTTTTTTCACATCGGGTCCGTGTGTGCCCATCGTTATTCCACCTCCTATACGTATTTATTTAAAAATTTTTTTTTATAAAAAAACCCTACTTTATTAATAATTTACAATTAAATTCAAATTCTTCTAACGATTCATAAAAAAAAAAAATTTTCCTTTTTTTTTCATTTTTTATTTTAAAAATTCAATTATACATAATATTATTATTATTATTATTATAAATAATAATAATGATAATAAAAACCGGGAATTGAATAAGGCTATTGTGTGTGTGTGTGTGTTTTATGGTAAATTCTTCAAACAAACAGCGGTTTTTATGTTTTCTTTGGGTAATAGGTTAAAACGTTTTTACAAAAACCTTTTTATTGATTTTTCTTTTTGGGGGGAAATTTAAACGATGACGTAAACAAGAAAATTACGTTGTGCCGGACGTAAAAAATAATTTTATCGATTTTTTTGATAAAGGTTTTGATAATGATGACGTATATGTTTGTTAAGGTACGAAATTTGGGTATGAAAAAAAAACGATAACGTTTTATTTTTTTTCATTGAGAAAATTTTTTTTTGTTTTATTTTCCAAAACACAAAAAGGATTTCGAAGAGGATACAATCTCTCTCTCTCTCTCTCTCTTTCTCTCTCTTTTTAGAAATTTTTTTTTTTTAAGTTCTGGAATTTAAATTTACGCGTACTGGAAACGTTTATCTTTTTTAAATATAAATTTAGTAAAAGTTAAAACTAACGTTTTTTTTACGTCACGAAGCCGTTACTAAAAAAAATTAATAATAATAATAATAATAATAATAATAATAATAATAATAATAATAATCGTTATTAAATCAAGTATTAAATTTTAAAAAAAATGGAAAACTTTTTAACGTAATTTTCATTTTAAAAAAAATTTATTTTATCATTATTATTAAAAAATAAATAAAAAAGGTTAAAGTTCCGGTCACGTTGTTTCCTTTTTCAGCAAAGGTTTTAAAGTATACACAAAATTCTTTTACCGAATGATGGGAACCAAGGGTAAATTCAACCTTTTCTCGAAAATCTTTTTTTTCTTTTTACTTTAACCTTTCGTTTCAAAAAAAAAAAAAACGAGGAGGGAAAAAAACGGAAAAACTTTTTCTCATTTCTCATTAATCATTTAACTCGATATATATATAAATAAATATTTGAAATCCATTAAATTATTATTATTATTATCATTAAAATAATTTTACGGTTTATTTAATTTTTATATAAAAAATATTATTATTATTATTTTGAAAATTCTAGAAAGAAAATTAACCGACACGTTTTTTTATAATGTTCAAATACATATATTTTCTTCAATTTTTTTTTTAACAGGAGCGGATTCAATATAAATTTTTTTTTCTAATAATAATAATAATAATATTAATAATAATAATAATAATAATAATAATAATAATAAAGCAGAAGAAAAAAAAATTTTCTTCTAAATAATTTAAAAGGTAAAAAAAAAAAAATTCTCATCGGTAGAAACGTTCAATCCGGTTACATAACTCAAATGTTTTTTTTGTTATTAACCGCCGCCATTTTATTTTTTAAAATCATTTCGTAATAATAATAATAATAATAATAATAATAATATTTTTACCCTCTTTTTTTTTTCTTTTTGGTATATCTCGTATCACATCTCTGATTAATAATTTGTGGTGACTCTTCTATTTTTCCACGAAAGGTAAAAAAAAAAAAAAAAAAAAATGGATGGATGGAGAAGAAGAGTCGTCAACAACAACAATAACAATCTTCGGGTAATAATAATAATAATAATAAATTCGTACGTTATATATATACCTTCTTAGCCTTTTGTTATTTTCTCCTCCTTTCTTACACCATCAAATCCCCATATACCTGTCACCTTCGATTTGAATTTTTTATTTGATGTCGGTTCATACGAAAAGATTTTTTAAAATTGGTGGTGATAGTGGTAGTGGTGGTGGTAGTGGTAGTGGTGGGATTCGTTAAGTGGTTGGTGTGTGTGTTCGGTATTCCACATAATATAAAAATTCCCATTGTATCTTTTTAAAAATGGAGTTATCCCCCGAAATAAAAAAAAATTATATTAAAAATTTATTATTATTATTATTATATTTTGTTATTGTTATCGATGCCATTATATTTGGTAATCCATAAACCAAATTTAAGGGGATCCCCCCTCTTTGAATTGTTATTATGAGAGAGAGATAAAAATTAAATTTCGGGGTTATTAAGATTAAGTAAAAATAATTTTAGGTTTTTTTTTTTTTAAATATATTTTTGTCAGGTATGCCAACATTTTTTTTTTTAACGGTGGCAGTACCGGAAATGATAGTTTTATTCGATTTAAAATAAAAAAACGAACGAACGTGGCGTCAACGAAGGTTTTAATTTTTTAAATACCAGAAGCTATAAGTTAAAAAAAAAATAAGGAGGTGACAAATAAACAAACAAACAACAAACAAAAAATCCGTGATAATTTTTTTGTATGCTACCGTAAAAAGTAAAAAAATTTTTTATATATATAAGAAAAACGACATTAAGAAATCCTCTTTTAAAAGAAACATGGAACGTCCTGAAGGGAGAATTTTGACGTTTAAAGTAGATACGGAATGCGAGAAATAAATCCCCCCCAAAAAAAAAAATCCTTTGGCTCCATTTTTCCTTTTTTATCCTTTGTTTGAATATGCCGCGCGTTTGGTGATAAAAAAAAATCCATTTCGTATCACCTGGAGAATAAAAATCGTCAAGATAAAAAATAAAAAAACCCGATTACTTTTTTTTCTAATATTTATTTCGTTTTAACTTTAATCTTTTTTTTTTTATAAATTCTCCAGATTTTAATAAATTTTTTTCCATTATAGTAAACATTAACTGGAAAAACTTTAACTGGAGAAATCTTTTGTTTATATATTCGAAAGGTATCAAATAGAGTCGTATGCGAGACAGAGAAAAAAAACCGTTAAAAATTTAAATTTTTGATTCTCCGTAGCAAAAATGGGGAAAAAAAAATTTTCTATCGTTGACATAAAATAAAATTTGCGTTCGTTTAGTTAACTCGTTCGAATTGTGTAAAGTTTGCACTGATTTAAATATTTAAATAAAATAAAAAAACTATACAAAGACAAATAAACGTGGTACTAGAAAAAGTTGATAACGTGATGATCGATAACACTTGATTACATTTGTTATTTTCACTCATCTTTTTTTTTTTTTTCATAACTTTTATTCATCGTAATCATCATTATCGGAGTGAAACAAAAAAAATATTAATTATGTCAAACGTTTTTAGCATTTATTATCATTATCACGTGACGGTTCATTTCCTTTTTTTCTTTTTTGCTATAAAAAATATTATTAACGGAGACCGAAGCGTTAACTTGGCTAGACTTTATCATTACAACTGGCGACTTTTTTTCTTTTTCATCTTTTATTGATTTTAATAACCGGATGTACGGATTTTAGTAAATCTTTCGTAAGAAAACAAAACATAAAAACATTTTGTTGCTGTTGTTGCCCTCATTATTATTATTATTATTACCGCCACCACCATCACGACGACAAGTTTAAAAAATTTAACACACGCATAAAAAAAAAATTTCTTCTTTTCTCTCATCTTTATCTACTCCTTATCATCATCATCATTATTATTATTTACTTATGAATATATTTACGTTTGACATTTTAAATTAAAATTATTATTATTATTATTATTAATTTTTTATGAAAACGAGTAAAAGAAGAAGAAAATCCGGTTGAAAAATAAATAAATAAATAAAAATTTATTATTTCCACTCATGTTTTCTCTCTCTCTCGTTTACCTCCTTCTCCTTATCCCCTCCCCCCACCGATCACGAATACGTAAAACGATGATGATGATGATGATTGTATATAATTTGATTATTAACGATAATATTTATTTAGAAACAAACAAAAGAAATTATTATTAGAAAATGTAAATCATAAATTTTCTTTTGGTTTTCCTTTGATTTAGGTTTTTACACGATCGATCAATTCAACTGCGCAAATGCGATAAAAATCTCTAAAAAAAAAAAAAAAAAAGGAAATATAACAATTTTCCCCCGCAAAATAAAAAAAAAAAAACAATCCTTTTACTATTGTTATTAATATCATTTCGGAGAATTTTTATTTTATTTATTAATAATTTTATTTATTTTATTTTTCTTTTTAGGTGTCTTCCATAAATCGTGTTTTAAGAAATTTAGCTGCACAAAAGGAGCAATCATCGGCTCAAAATGAATCCGTTTATGATAAATTACGAATGTTTAACGGTCAAGCACCAGGTTGGGCTTGGTACCCGGGTACACCTCCTACAACACATTTGACATTACCACCTAATCCTACGACGACGTTACCCGGACAAATGTCAAGAGATGATTTACAAAAAAGAGGTAAAAATAATTACATATTTTTTATGTATAAATTTATTCGCGATGTTATTATATAAATAATATTTTTGTTTGTCATTGTTGTTTTAACAAACAAGCAAACAAAAAGTCAATCGAATTTATTTATTTTCTTTTTTTTTTTTTTTTTACAAAATTAGAGAAATAAAAACACATTCGCGAACAAATATATGTATACATATTTAACTATTATTTCCGGTTTAAAAAAAACAAATACAAACGTCGACGGTTCGATTTGTTTGTTTGTTCGTTTGTTTTTTTTGTAAGTAATAATTATATTTAACGATCGGGGTAAATATTTAATTAATTACCGCTAAAAAATTTTTAATCCGCAAAGTATAAAAATATTGATTAAAAAAAAATAAAAAAATTTTTTCCCCGTTTGTTTGTTTGTTTGTTTATGTTTAAAACTATAGGAAATTTATTATTATTATTATTATTATTATTATTATTATTATTATTATTATTATTATTATTATTATTTTTATTTGAAGACAATTGTTTGTTGTTGTTTGTTACGAAATTGAGTAAAATTAAAATAAAAAATTAATCACCCGTCGTACGCCATTTTAAAAAAATTTTTCGCGACTCGATTAAAACATGCAAATAATTCCGACTGAAAAAAAATGAGTTTGAAAGTTTTTTTAATAATAATAATAATAAAAGCAGAAGACGGAATCGTTTATATTTTTTTTTTAAACAAAAAACTAAAGATTTAAATTTTCAAATGTTTACAAACGTGTTTTCATTCATTATTGAAACGTAAAAAGGAATGAAAAACCAGAGTTTTAAGGGTGGCACAACATGTTTTTTATATATTTACAAAAAAAGAGAAAGAGAGAGAGAGAAAGTAAAAGAAAGAATAAAAAGAAAAAAAAATTGAAAATGAAAAAAAAGGAAAGGAAAGGAAAGGAAAGAAAGAAAGGAAGGAATGGAAAAAAAAAGAAAAAAAGAAAGATAGAAAAAAAATTTTTTTTTTTGTTTGTACGTCTGACGCAATTCAACACAGCCCCCAAACAATCCATAGCAAGGGTTGTTCCCTAAACAAAGGGTAGTAGAAGAATGGAAGGGGTGTAACTGAGGGTGTGTACGGAAGCGGAAGAATTCAGAGATGGACCAAACAGAGGCAGAGGGTGCGATATACCAACTATAAGGGTGAAATTCCGGAGTCTTCCGTTCACAATAAAAGGAATAAGAAGTTTTTTATAAAATTCTTCTTCTTCTTCTATTCCTCGGCGGCGATCAACGAGGAATAATAACACTTGGCGAACGCCAAACATCTACTTTCATCCCCTATATTTTAAAAGGTGGAAATATATATAAAAAATGAAATATTATTTTCATCCCTTATACTTTTTTTTTCTTTTTTTGATCGATAAAATCTTCAACGCGTGAAAAATATGAAAATAATTTAAAAAAAAAAAAAAAAAATGGAAAATCATTTTTTAAACGCATTCGACAATCGACTATAAAAAAAATTTTTTTTTCATAACAAATCGATCGATTTTAAATTTTTATTTATTTACGATTCGATAATAATAATAATAATAATAATAATGATAATAATAATAACTAAACTCTTAAATTTATTATTTACTATTTTATTTATTTATTTATTTTTTTTTGCGAATTACGGGGAAAAATTTTCCATAAACAAAAAAAATTTTCTTTTCTCATATCGTTTCGCGACGTAACAAACGAATCTTATATGTATGCGTACAAACACAAACAAACAAACAATACAAGCAATGTCACAAACGGGTTAAAACTATTTAAATAAGTTCTTAATAATAATTTTTATTTTTTTTAAACAAATCGTAAATTTATAACGACAACAAAATAATCAAATCGCGATTAAACAATTTTTTAAAATAATAATAATAATAATAAATCAAATCCTCCTTTTTATTTTTAATATCGTTTCGTCAATTTGCAAAAAAAACAAAATGTCGTCATCGTCGTCGTCGTCGTCGTGTAAATAAAAAAAAAACGTTTAAAAGATAAATAAAATATATACATTTGTCGTACTAAATATATATATGTATAATGTTAGACGATTAAGATAAAAAGAAATGAAAAGAGAGAGAGAGAGAGAAAGGGAGAAAAACTAAAAGGGTAAATCAAAAGATTTAAAAATAAAAGGGAAAAATCATTTTCCACCACCCTCCCTTCACCCCCCACCCTCTTCAATATAACTTAAAATTTTTTATATAAACTTTTTCATTTAATTAACAAATCATCGTTTTATATTTATACCGTTTTAAAATTTAACAAAGTCGATGTGACTTTTTCGTTTTAAAAATTAACAAACGTAATAATAATAATAATCCGTTCGTTTTTATTTATTTCGAACGATGTTTTTGCGAAAGGGGGAGAGAGAGAGAGAAAAGGGTGTAAAATTATAATTTCGATAATAAATAATTTTAGGGGTGTAAAATAAAAAAATAATTTTTTATGTTTGAGGAAAGGGAGGGAGAGTGGGAGGGAGGAAGCGTACAGGTTTTTATAACACAAAAAAGGAAAAAAAGGAAAATACGATAAAAATTTGAGGAGATGGGGGTGGGGGTGGTGGTAGATCGGGGTTAAAATGAAGATACAATAAAATTCATCCAAGTAGAAAGTAATAAAAGAAGATTTCAACGAAACGTAATGAAACAAAACGCGAATGAAAACAAAAAAAAGGAAGAAAAAAGGAAGAAAAAAAGGAAAACAAATTAAAAAGAGGAAAAATAAGAAATAAAAAAAAAGAAAAGAAAAGAAAAGAGAAGAGGAGAGAAAATGAGTTTTCCAGCGGCAACAAATACTTGGTGAAATGAATCAAGATATTAAATTTTCGGTTGTTTTCCTTTTTTTTTCCTTTTCCTTCCTTTTCCTTTTTCTCCAGATAAAAGGAAAAAAAATAAAAAAATAGTCATTAACAATCGTGCCAACATTATAAAAATAATTTCATTTTCATTTTATTCCTATCCAAAAAAACAACAATAAAATAATGAAACAACCGATTTATTTAATATCGTTTAAAATTATGGAGGAAAAAAAAAACGTATCGCTGGAAAATCGTTACAATCGTAAAAACGGGAAAAGAAAATTTTCAAATTTTCACAACAGGGAAAACAATCCAACCCGAAACAATCAAAGAACAAAAAAAATTTTATTGAATTTTATTATAAAGACCCCCTGGAGCTATTACCCACTACCACTACCACTACTAATACTAAAGACTTTTCTCCCAGTGTGTCCCTCGTTACCGATCCCTTTATGCCTCCTCCCTTCCCTCCCTCTCTCCCCCTTCTTCCCTCTCCTCCCCAATCCCGTAAACTAAATGAACCGATGCAGGACACATAATTTTATTTTATTCTACAGCAAAGCTCGTTAAAAATATGGTATAACATATAATTAGATTATTCCTTATGCAATTTGTTATATGGCTTTATTCAATTGTCATCATTCCCTTTTTTTTTTTTTTCTTCCCAATTTTTCCCAATTTTATTTCCTTTATAACTTTTCAACATGTTTAAATGAATACTATCATATCTATCGTACCTATTTATCCGAACAAACGCGAAAAGGTACAATCACTTCACGAACAAACTCTTCACAAACAAACAACAAACTTTTCACGCTTTTAATCGCGCTTTTTTCCTTCTTTCTTCCTTTTTTATTTTTTTTTAACCTTATTAATCATCATTATCATTATGTTATTCATATTTTTTATTTATTTTTCATAAACGAAATTAACGAGCCTTTAATTTACAGGTTTAACAACTTTATTTTAAAATAATTCGACTTGAAAATTAAGTTTTTTTAATTTTTTTTTTTTATTAAGAAGATTTTAAATGTTAAATTTACTTGCAAAATTTTCAACACTCGCAATTAAATCAAATTTATTTAAATATTATTATTATTATTATTATTATTATTATTATTATTATTATTATTTATTAATTACTTTTTTTTTATTACTTTTCTTTTTTATAAATCCATTAATTTTTATTTTATTCATTCCTAATCATTCATTCATTCATTCATTCATTTATTTATTTATTTTTTTTTTTAAATCTTTCGAGAGTGATAATTATTACGTAATTAGTTATTTATTTATTTTTTTCTTACTCTTTCGTTCGCGTAATTATTAATTAAAAATAACAGAAATTATTAAAATTTTTTTTTTTTTAATTTACGGTTGTTAAAAAATTTCTAACGACAAACGACAAACGACAAACAACAAACATAAAATTTTTTATTTTTTAAATCAAATTTATTATCGCGTTTAATAATAAATTATCGGTGATTGAATGTTTTTGTTATTTATAAGTATTAGTATTATTATTATTAACTTCATTTAATTGAAAATTCAATAAGTAATAATAATAATGATGATGATGATAATAATAATAAAAGGTTTTCGATATGATTTGCGAACCTGAGGGCGTTAAAATCGTATCAAAGAGAGAAAGAGATTTTTAAAATTTAAAAAATTTATTAATTCAAATAATTAGTAATAAAATTTAAATTACGTGGGGAGAACCATTTCACCCCCTTCTTTTTTCATCCCTCCCATCACCCCCCACAATACTATTTGAATACATTTTATAGTAAATTAGAAAATTTCGTAAACTAAAAAAAACTTCGATTTTACCGGACGAATTTTTTTCCCAGGATTTCATCAAACGTTTAAACATTTTAAAATAATAATAATAATGATGATATTGTCGTCATAATAACTATTTCTAATAATAATAATAATCATAATAATAATGATAATCGTGGCATTTTTTTCTGGGGAGGGGTGAGAGGGAAATAAATAAAATAAAATAAAAATGGAATGATTTCTGAAAAAAATATATATAAATATTTTTTTTTTCTCTTTTTATTTTTCACGCAGCAGCAGGAGCAGGAGGAGGAGGAGGAGGTGATCTCGGTTCTCATCATGGAGAAAATACATCCGATGGAAATTCTGAACACGGATCTTCCGGAGATGAAGATTCACAATTAAGATTAAGACTCAAAAGAAAATTACAACGTAATCGAACGTCATTTACTAACGAACAAATCGACAGTTTAGAAAAAGGTAATAAAAAAAAAAAAAAAAAATTACTCCCTCCCCCCTCGTGTTTTTTTTTTTGTTGAGAAATCATTCCATGAATTATCATCATCATTATTATTATTTTTACTATTTTAAATTACTGAACAATTATTATTATTAATAATTTTTCCCGTTTTTAAAAATTAAACAAAAAAAAAATTTTTAATTTTTATTAAATTGATAATTACGGTTAAAAAAAAAAAATCTTTTGTGCCCGATAATAATATTAATAAAAATAATGATAATGATAATAATAATAATTGTTTAAAAAAGGAAATTTTTTCTAGAACAAAAAAATTTTTTTTTTTTTATTTTTTCATTCACGTAAAATTAAACAATTTATAAAACGTTTTTTTTTTACTTATTATTAGAAAAACAACGAAATCGTTTGTTTGTTTGTTTGTTTGTTGGTCCGTTTGTTTCATCATTTTTTTTTTTTCGAATCGTTTTAACTTAAAATCGTATTTTTTTGTTTGTTTTATTTTTAGAATTCGAAAGAACTCATTATCCGGATGTATTTGCCAGAGAAAGGTTGGCAGAAAAAATTGGTCTTCCTGAAGCAAGAATACAGGTACGGTATTTTGAAAAATTTCGCTTTAAGAAGAAAAAGAAGAAGATCAAGAGGAATAAGAAAAAAAAATTGTATTTGTTTCAGGTATGGTTTAGTAATAGGAGAGCTAAATGGAGAAGAGAAGAAAAATTACGAAATCAAAGAAGGACGGTCGAACCAGTGGTTAGCCCACCTACGCCATCTAGTAGGTTACCACTTAATACAGGTTTTAATTCAATGTATGGTAGCATACCGCAACCGATTGCAACTATGTCGGAATCGTATAAGTGAGTAAAATAATAATAATAATAATTTTATTAACTCAAAAAGCAGAAGAAAACAAAAAAAAAAAAATTGTTTGTTGTTGTTGTGGTTGTTTACAGTTCGATGACTTCGAGTTTAAGTTCTATGAACGGTAGTTGCTTGCAGCAAAGGGATGCTGCTAGCAGTTATCCTTACATGTTTCACGATCCGCTTCACAGTTTAAGCTCAACTTATAATCATTCTAGAGCTGCTGCAGTTTCTGCTGCTTGTAATTCAGCAGCAGCACATCAAAATTCAGTCAATACACATTCGAGTTACGGAACCGTGGGTTCGAGTTCGACCGGACCTTCCGGAACGGGTAAGAAAAACATTTCCCCCCATCTTTCCCCTCACCCTTCATCTCCCAAGCACTCATTCGATTTTTTTTCTTTTTTCCCCAGGCGTTATATCAGCCGGAGTTAGCGTACCCGTTCAAATCCCGAGTCAAACACCGGATTCAATGTCAAATTATTGGCCTAGAATTCAGTGATCTCAACTTTTCGGGTTTCCACCACCGAGGTTATTAGTGGAAAACCCGGCAATAACAACAAACGCGACAACAACAAACAATCCGACGGACTGTTCGACACCATCTCCGATGGCTGCGCATCAACGGATATAATCATTATTAAAAATAAAATATATATATATATATATATATATTTATCGGTCACAGGGTACTCAAGTAAGCGGAAATGAAATTTTTTTTTTAACCGGAAGTGAATACCTACGTCATCATAGTGCTATAAAAATAAATTGTGCCAAAAAAAAAAAAATTCTCATATATACATAAATATAAATTATCAGGAACGACATTATACCGAATGATAATAATAATAATAATATTAATAATTAATAGTAATAATAATAATAATAAAAGTGTAGCAATATAAAAACAAAACAAAGTCACGTAGTTTAAATAAAAATACCAAAGTATCTTCATTATTCACGATACGATATTTTATTTTCAATAATAATAATAATAATAATTATGATTTGATCAGTGCGGATATTATTTTAAAATAAGAATAAACGTAGAAAAAAAGTGGAAAGAAAAAAGAAGATGGAGGAAAAGAAGAAGAAAGAAGAAGGAAAAAAATTTTTTTTTTTTTTCATTACTTACTTTTTTTCAAATTCAATAGTTTAAACACGGAGAAAAAAAAAAAAAACTTTTTCGAAAAGCGGAAATAGTTGACGGACAATAGTAATAGAAATGGAAATTAAAAAGGAAAAAAAAAGGAAGGAAAGGGATGAAAAAGGAAAAAAAAAACGGAAGGTTTTTTTTTTTTTTTACGCGATGAGGGTAAAAATGGTATTTAAGGGCTGACCGAGCATATCGCCCACTTTGTAATTTATCTTCGTTTTCTGTCATATTATTCTGGTAACGTGTTACACGGTAATTTTTTTTTTTTTTTTTTCCTTTTTTATCATTATTACTATTATTATTATTATTATTTATTTATTTATTCGCCGCCATTTTTCTTTTTTTCAATGACGATACTTTTATTTTTATATATCTGACACGTGAAATAATTTTTAATTAAAAAAACAAAATCCAGTGAATGTGTGACGTCATTAACAAATGCTCTACTTATAAGGTTAATAACAAAAAAGAAAAAATCGATTTGATTACTTACCCGTGTAATATTTCCTCTTCTTTTTTTTTCTCACGAACCAATAAAAATTAAGGGTTGAAAAGGGTTAATTCTTTTATCACAATCACTACTAAGTAATAATTTAAAAAAAAAAAAACAATTTAATAATCACAAATGAAACGTTGTTATTTACCACCTTGAGAAAACGCGCGAAACCGTTTCCTGTTAATTTAATTTAAATTTTTCCCGTAAGAGTGAGATAAAATCGCACGAGAAGGTAGCCGAATGGGTAGGGGTGGGGAAAAAATGTCGGTTTTTTTTTTCTTTTTTGGCAAAATAAAAAATGGTTTAGTTTTTCTTTTTATTTTCTTTAATAATTTCTCTCTCGATAAATGTTTATTATGAAAATAAATAATAATTTTTATATTTTTAATTAAATGTTGTAACTGTGATTACATAATTAATTGCAAACAGAACAAAAAAAAAAAAAAAGAAAATATTAAGGTTATGTAAAAAAAAAAAAACAAACAAAAAAAATTTAAAAAAAAAATTAAAAAAAAACGAAAAAAAAAAAAAAAATTATAAAAGTATTTTTTGTGTTTTAGTACTTAAATATGAAGTTTTTTCAATGTAGTACAAAAATAAATGAAATCATTAAAAAATATAAATTGAATTTTTTTTATTTATTTCCACCCTCTTTTCCCCTTTCTGAACTTCCAACCATTTTTTTTCTTCCCTTTTTGTAATGATAAATCATTACATTCAACAATTTTTACACTTTCAAAAAACATTAATAGTTAGAAAGGGAAAAAATAAACAAAAAACAAAAGAACAATATAAAAGACAAAAAGGATTTTTCAATTTTTCAAAAAAGGGGAGGCAACAAGACGATATATATATAATTTTCCCCTTTTCTTACATCTATTTGATCAATTGAATTTTTTTTTTTTTGTAATTTTTTCCAACAATACACTTTAAGTATATTTTAAATTTAAAAAGAAAAAATTTAGTTTTTCTTTCCCCCAAAATCATTTACAATACACATAAATTTACTTAAAAATGAGGATTAAATTCTTTTGTTTTTATTTTTGATCATTTTTACATTTCCCCCCAAAAATAAAATGGCAATGATGTTTATCGAAAAAAAACAATAATATACACAATATAATCAGAAATTTAAAAAAATTTTTGTTATACTCACCTGAATTCGAATTATTTATATATATTAAATTTTTTTATCGTTTACATACCTGAAATGTTTTTAACTCGAAATAAAAAATATTAATGATAATATGTACATGGAGCATTAAAAGTTGCTCCTTTTTGTCAAATAAACATTTTAATAATTATTAACGATTAAATAAATGAAATCAAACTTGTTTAAAGTAACAGTCATATCAGGTTGGTGAAGATGATTAGTACTTATCGAAAACTAATTTTAAGTGGATGTGTTTATATACATGTATTTTAAGTTTTACTTTTTCAGACTGCAAACATATAAAATACAGTATAATCACTATACTTAAATGTGTTATTTGTCATGTTAATTTATTGATTTTGTTTCATTATACTAAAGAAATTTTAAAAAAAAATTGTGACATTCAAATACCAACAAGAAAATTATTTCACTTTATAAAAAAAAATTGATTCGAGTAAGACATTTTTATTAAAACGAATACAAAATGATGACATACTTGTAATTTATTTTGAAAACTACCTTTTTCAAGTAATTTTAAGTGAAATTAATAATTTATGTAAAAGAATAATGGTATTTGATGAAGTTATAGTTGATGGTAGGTATTAAAAACTTAAATTTAAGGAATTAAACATAGACAAAAATTAAAAATATAACACAAATATATAAACATTCAAATATAAGTAAAGGAATATTTTTGTTATAAAAAGTGTTTAAAATGATAACAACAGAAAACAAATCTACAAAAAATATTAAATTTTAATTAAAATAAAGCAAGTAAGGAATTAATTTATAAATTAAAAAAAAAAAAATTTACAATTAATTTTATTTCAAAAAATATTTTTTATAAATTTTGAAAAATCACTTTTAAATTAATAAAAAAAAAGAAAGAAAGAGAGAGAGAAAGAAAGAAATTTTACCGAGTCATTAAAAAAAAAAAAAAAAAAAAGGAAAAACCTGTTTTATCAATCAATCATCATTTTTTTTTTTTTTTTTTCATTTCAGTTATGTTGAATTGAGTTAACTACGCGTAACCTTGTTTATAAAGCTAGGTTATGTCAATGCATTGATAAAATGTGTGGCAGTATCGGGGAATTTCTAGGGTTGTTTTTCATTCTTATGTTATCCACAGTGTTTTAGAAATGGCGGAGGGTAATCAATGGGAAATCTGTAAATAAAATAATTATTTATTCGTTTTTTTGTATATAATAGCATTTAAATTTGATATTTTGTGATATTATCGTAATAAATGGGATATGGGGAAAGACCAGGAGCTGCTAGAAGCAGCCAGGAATGGAAATGCATCGGTGGTAGAAAAAATTTTGAGCCAGAGGGCAAAGAGGAGTGGCCCATTGGCAAGGTAAATACATGATTATTTATAATTATTTTAAAAAACCTGTTTATTATCATTTTTTTTTTAAAACTTTTTCTTTAGTTTTAACTTTTATAAACTTTTTAACTGTGCGATTTTTATTAAACCACCCCCCCCCATCCATTGTAAATAAAATAAATTTAAACGTTTTTAAAAAATGTAATTTTTCTTTTGTTAAGAGTTTTTATTAATAACAGGTGATTATCATTATTATTTTGTTTTTAATTATCAGTTTGTTTTCATTTATTTAATTAACCTTCATGTGAGTTTGTCTTGTTTTTATTTTATGTTTGTTTTCTTTATATTTTTCACTTACATATTTTTATATAATTTTTAAACATTTTCATTAACATTAATAATAATATTATTTTATTCGAAATAAAAAAAACCGAAAAAGTTATTTTAAATAATGATTAGAGTGTGATTAAACATTTTTGTCTGGGTTTTTTTCCCTTCTTAGAATTTATTTATTAAATAAACAAATATCAATGTTTATTCGAATCACATGATTATCTTAATTATAATTCATATCATAAACGTTTTGTGAATTGATTTTTTTTCATGAGAATTTCATTATGAATTTAATTAAATGTCTCTTTTTTTTTCCCCCCTCCTCTATGTGATAATTAAATATTATTATTCATTTTAAACTGTACATAAATAATATTTTTAAAAAAAAAAATTTATAATCTCTGTTATGAAATAGTCGAGCATCCCTTTCGTTTTTTTTTTATTCGAACAAAGTTTTTTTCATAACATTATCTTAAAACTTTGTTATGACTTTATATTTTATCACAAAGCAATGCAATGGGAAAAAGTTTTCATTGTTTATTACCTGATTTGAAAAAAAAAAAAAAGTCATTTTTAAAAGTTTTTACAAGTAAAATTGTGTCTATTGTTGATACTCGATAAAGTATTACAAATTTACATTATTGTTGTTTGTTGATTAACATTCGATTAATATCATAAATCATTACAATTCGATATCAAAATATTATAATTATTTATCTTATGATAGAATTTTATATCAGAAGTGTAATTTATAAACTCATGGCTTTTTACCACGCGTTCTAATTTATTAATAAAATAGCATAATTATGTTGACAATTAATTATACCAATAATAACAAAAAAAAATTTTTCTTCTTTTCATTAAATAAAAAACAAACAAGAAATGATTCATTTCAAAACCCCAATCATTTCAATTCAAATAATATATATTATTTCAGTTCAGAAATAATTATTTTCAATAAATAACAATTGAAAAAAAAAAAAAAAAAAAAAAAAATTATGGTTTGGATATTTATATATAAATATAAAAAGTAAAACACGTACATATTTCATTCGAAAGATTTATATGGTTTTTTTTTTTTTTTTTTTTTTTTTTATGGTTTTCTATTAAATTAATTTTTTAACCCCCCCCTCCCCCCCCCTCCCCCCCGTCTCCCCAAAATTTTTTTTTTTTGGGTACGTTTCTTTTTTTTTTTTCGAAACACTTGACCCTGTTTCGTGTTGTCAATTAAAAAAAAATCCAAAATAAAAGAACAAAAAAAAAAAAAAAAGAAATTTTTTTTTTTGTTGTTGTTTCCCCTTCTACTCCTTCCCCCTCATTATTACCACTAATAATAATTACGATTTGAAAATTTTTTCTTATTGTGTGACTTTCATATTTTGAAATTTAATGAATAAAAAAAAAAAAAAAATGAATGATTTTATTTGTGCTAATTTATGTAATTAATTTGACCTGATATATTAATTGTCAGAGGCGTTTATATATATCTAATTAAGAACAAAATAGAAATTTCTATTAGTGGGAAAACTAATCCCCCCCCCCACTTTGTTTGTTGTTTTTGTCATTTGTTTATGTGTGACTGTGTGTTTGTGTGTTTGAACATTCTTATGAAGTTTAACGAGTTTATAAAAGCTTTCCCTTTTTTTTCTCAATTCAAATTAATATCCAGTTTTTTTTTTGGGTAATAAAAAGTAATGGTGATTAATTAATTTTTCTTCGCTTGAAAGTTTTAAAAAAATTAATAATAATAATAAATAAATAAATTTAAAATTTTCCATTATGTTTTGCCATTTGTGAACGTTGTCATATGTTCATGAATCGCGAAATTTATTTACGTCATTTTTTTTTTTTTTTTGCAATAGATTTCACTCGATCGGAAAACCCTTGCAAAAAAAAAACAAACATAAATAATGAATGATGGGTAAAATAGAAAAGACGACAAACAACAAACGACAAACAAAAAAAGAAATTAGTTTTTTTTTTTTTTTGGTAGTAGTAGAACGACACGAGATGACACGAGTGAAAATTAATAATTACTCAGTCGTGGAACAACTTAACAACGCGTGTAGAAATGAGTTGGAGCGGGGAGCAGTAGTGGGAGCAGGAGGGGGGAGAGAGATTTCGTTAACGAAAAATTTGAGGGGGAACCACCTGCAGGAAAAAAAATTATTATTATTATTATTCGATTTATGAACACGTGAAACCAATTTAAACTCGAAGAAGAACAATTATAAACGGAAACTCCCTACCCCCCCCCTCATCTCTCCTTACTTCTTTTATACCGCAAATGGGGGAGGGGGGGGGGAAAAGGAAAGGAGGCCGATTGAAACAAAAACAACAACATGTTGGTAGAAGACGACGTCATGTTGCAATTTTTTTTTTTTTTAACAAAGTTTCGGACGGATTTTTTTTTTTAAACTATTACAACCCACTCAAATTAATTTTTTGTTTTTATTACCATTATTATTATTATTACTATTTTTATTATTATTATTATTATTATTGAAGGAACGTTATTTCTGTTGGGAAAAAAAAGAAATATTTTGACGTTCGACTCGGATTTTTCTTTCTAATTATAGATTGCGAAATTATGGAAAGATGAGATTTCGTCATTATCAATTTTTTAAAAAATTGTATGATAATTTCAAACGCGCGCGGGTTTTATTATCATTATTATTCTTTTTCTTCTGCTTCTTTTTTTTTTTTTTTTGTTAAACTAATGTTTTCGTTTGGCAAAATGTATTACAGTCTTCGTCGGGGTCCGGGTGCAAACGTTCAAGACACAAGCGGTTATTCGGCTTTGCATCACGCGGCTCTCAATGGTCATCAGGACATTGTGGAACTTTTGCTGACCCACGAAGCATCCACAAACATACTCGATGCGAAAGGATCATCTCCTCTTCATTTGGCTGCTTGGGCTGGAAACGTCGACATTGTGAGACTTCTTCTGTGCCACGGACCATCAGTTCCAAACGTCAATCTTACCGTAAGTGTTTTTCTCTCTCTCTCTCTCTCTCACTCTCTCTTTACCGTTGGAAAATTCGTTAATCGTCAGAATGGGAAAACAAACACCCAGAGTATTTTCAATTCAGATAGAGACAAAAAAAAAATTAATAATAATGATAATAATAAATAAATAAATAAATGAGTAGGAGCAAATGCGGAAATGAAATTTAAATTATTTATGGCCGACACGTAAATTTTATTATTATTATTATTATTATTATTATTTTTTTTTTCGATTCTCGATCTATTTCGGATTTAAAATTTTTGGCATAAAAACGAATAGATTTAATTTAAAATAATTTTAGTTGTGCAACCGCGGTTTATCTATTAATATTCCTACTATTATTATTATTATCATTATTTAAATTTTTTTTTTTTGTTGATATATTGTAACCGTATCTATTTTGCGGGAGAAAACCGCCGCAGAGAGATTTTGTTGTTTCCAACAGCATCTACAGCTAAAGTAAATGCATTTCCCTCGTTTGCAATAAATTATCAATTCAGATGCTGTTGTATTTTTGACTTTTTTTTTTTTTTTCGTTTGTTCTGTAATCATTTCTATCTCTCTTTGTCTTTTTTCTGTGTTTCTCTCTCTCTCTCTCTCTCTCTCTGTATTTCCCCCCCCCTCCCGTGTATTTTATTTTATATTATTTTTCGTAATTTATAATATTGCGAAAGAGCTTTCATTTCCAGACGTTTTTACCCGTAATAAAAATTACGTTTTTATTTTATTTTTATTTTTTTATTTTATTTTATTTTTTTTGTTACTTTTATTTCGCAATTCTTGTTCTTTCCTTTTTCTTTTTCTTTTTTTGTCCAATCGAAAAAAAAAAAAAAACGATTCTGTTAGTCCTTATTATTATTATTATTATTGTTCTAATTTTTTTTTTTTTTCGTTTTGTTTTTGATTTAACGTTCGTAATTTAATGAAAATTACTCAATCTATTATTATTATTATTATTAGTATTAGTATTAGTATTATTAATATCGTTATTGATATTATTTTATTTTTATCCCTTTAAAAGACAATCAAATCGAGGTTTAATTAAAACATGTCGCCATTTTTTTTTTTTTTTTTACATGAAAATAAAAAAAAAAAAAAAAAAAATTGGTTGATTTGACGGGATGATTTAAACGGGATTTAGGGCGAAAATTTTAAAAGTTATTTTTGGGTAAAAAGGATTAAAGAAAAATAAAAAAAAAAAAAAAGAGGCAGAGGAAGAGGAAGAGGCAGCGGCAAATGAGATTATTCTTTGTTGTGTGTATTTTAGATTTTTTACAATTGAGCGACTTTTTTTTTTTCTGTCTCTCTCTTCGTACGGCGTCAATTTCGACGAATTATGTATTCCTGCAAACTGATTGATATGATTTAAACCTTTCTAATCCGACAAGTTTTCCCCCCATTCTTCCCCTCCCCTCCTTCCTCCCACCTCCTTGGAAAATTTCGGGGAAAAAGTAAAAAAAAAAAAAAAAAAGATTGAGGAGGCTTTGAAATTGACTCTAGTTTTTGTTTCTCTATGATTTTTTCTAAAAAAAAACTTTAAAAGTTTTGATTCGTCGTCGGAGCGTTTTTTTCCATAATTGCGGAGTTGTTTTTTTTGGGGGGTGAGGAAGTGGGAGTTTGATTTAAGGAGCATTCGTTTCCGGAAGGGATTTACACGATTGTTTAAATTTTTTTGTTTTTGTTTTTGTTTTTGCACAGACAAAGGACCACGAAACGGCTCTTCATTGCGCTGCCCAATACGGTCACACGGAAATAGTGACTCTTTTGCTGGAGCATTCGTGCGATCCGACTATAAGGAACTCGCGAGAGGAAACCGCTCTCGATTTAGCTGCTCAATATGGACGATTGGAAACCGTTGAACTCCTCGTGCGAACTCATCCGGAATTGATACAACCGTTTTCCAGGTCTTATAAATCCGGATGCGTTTTCCCACATACTCCTTTGCATTTAGCTAGTCGAAACGGTCACAAGTAAGTTGTAAAATTTTGTTTGTTTGTTTGTTTGTTTCCTCCTTCTCGCCCCTCCCCCCGTCAATTCAAAAAACGGGAACGAATAGTCGGTTTCAAACGATATTAAAAAAAAAAAATTATTTCTCTCTCGGTTCCAATCGAAGATCTCGATACTTTTTTTTTTTTTTTGTAATCGTGAATGGGGGGGTAGGGGAGGGGGGATTTTTCTGTTGTTTGTTGGCGATTGCGCGTGTAAATAAAATTAAGTAAAAAAAAAAAAAAAAAAAAAAAATCGAGGGAATTTAATTTAGTAGGAAAAATCAAAATGAAAACAAAAAAAAAAAAAAGGAAAACGAGTTACGACGACGGTAAAAATTTAAATTTTAAATTAGGCGAAACAAGGCGTAAAAAAAAAAATAAAATAAATAATAATAATAATAATAATAATAATAATAATAACAATTTATAGAAATGAAAGAAAAAAAAAGGAGGAAATTTTTTTTTTGCTTTCGTTTACCACATCTTCTCGATAATCTTAATTTGAAAAATTAAATTATATAGAAAATTTATTATAGAATTAAAATTGATTGGATTTCATGAAAGAGGTTTCCGTTCGTTCCGTTCGTTCCTTTCTTTCTCGTTTTTTCCGTTCGTAAAAAAAAAAAAAACTGTTCGTTGCAGGCGCATTTAAATAAGGAATAAAATAAAATAAAAGTTATTAATTCGGTTTTGAAAATAGATCAACCGTAAATAAGCCGAGATTACTCGTAAATGTACGTATTCTCTCCTATCAGATTTACAGTAAATATACTCGGAGCGTTCGCTCACCCACCCCCCATCCCCCTACACCTCCCCCCTCCACGCTCCGAAAGCTTTACAGACGTTGATTTTTTTTTTTTGAAAAGGGGAATGAAAAACTCGAAAATTTATTTATTTTTATTTTTTTATTTTTTACGTACGGGGGGTACGGATGGGGAGACGATTTTGTTTTTGACAGTTTCGTTTGCATTTCCGCCACCATTGCATTTTAAAAAAAAAGTTTTCACGCTTCGGAGTTTGGATTAAAAAAATAAAAAAAAAAAAGCAGGAAAAGTTTTTTTTAAAAAAAAGTTTTATTTATTTTCTATTTTTTTTTTTTCATTTTGCCCTACACACGCAGGAAAATATCGATCGATTATCGCGATATTCGTTCGATTAAAAAAGTCGGAAATGTTTGATTTTTGACGGGGTGAGAAGAGGGGGAGGAAGGAAAGGGGATGTTTCACACACGCACGCACGCAAAAATGGCGGAACGTATTCGAGAACGAATTTGAAAAATGCAATTCCAACTTTTTTTAAAATAATAAAAAAATTGGAATTTCAATGGGGGGAGGGGGTGGGGGTGGAAATGGGTTTAAAATTCAATTTTCGTTTTTCTATCCTTATCTAACCAATCTCTATCTCTCTCTATCTCTCGAACGAAAGGCGGAAATTTCTCGCATTCGATTTTATAAAAATTTTTTTTTTTTACCGCGCTCGTCCAATTATCATCCGGAATGTGAAATCAAAAAAAAAATTTTTTTTGATCGCGGAGGTGAAAGGAAAGGGGGGGGGGGTAATGTGATGTGTCACGGGATGTCATCCGAATGGAACCTGTTGCAAAAGTACGTGGAAAATTTTTACCTTTTTTCTTTCTTCCAGACTCGTCGTAGAAATTCTTTTGTCTTCGGGAATGGATGTTAATTTGAAAACTTCCGGGGGTACGGCATTGCACGAGGCGGCACTCTGTGGAAAATTGGACGTCGTGAGAACCCTTTTGGATGCCGGAGTCGATTTGCGACTGAAAGATGCCAAACAAAACACTGTACTCGATTTGCTGAGACAATTTCCAAAGCACGTCACTCAGGATATATTAACCATCATCAAAAGTTAGTTTTTTTTTTATGGTTCCCCCCCCCCGCCTTATTTTTTCCTTTCGTTTCGGGGTGTAAAATTTTATTTTATTTTTTTTTGTTTGCACGAATATTTGCAGAACATCAAAACGTTCAAAAGTTTGACGACAGCGATTCGGAGGGAGGATCGCACTTACCCATGGTTCAACCAAATTTAGGGAGCCCATATGAAAACGTTAAGGTTGTGATGACGGATCAGGGAAGGCGCGGAAGGCATTCCAGCCGAAACAATACGGCGAATTCGGGAATGGAATCTTCTCCGGGAAGTTCTCCCGTTCAAAATTGGAATTATTACGCACAAAAGAAAAAAAATTCTTCGTGAGTAATCATTATTATTATCATTTTTTCACTTCTCGTAAGGTTTTATGGTTTTTTTTCCCTCTCCCCACATTCTATCGGCTTAAAATCAGATTTCGACGTTTAACAAATCGTTCGACCTTTGGAATTCCAGGTGACAAAGTCTTCTCCCCCTCTCTCTTCATCTTTATTCTTTGTCGGCCATTTTATAATTTCCGGAGTTATTTTTATTTTTTACATTATGGTCTTCTTATAAAAATAATAATTAACAATTGTTTTCTTTTTGTGACGTTAATATTATTATTATTATTGATGTTGTTGTTTGTTGTTGTTGTTGTTGTTGTTATCGTAAACATTTTTATTTCAAAATCGGATAAATCGATTGGTTGATTTATAACAAACAAATAAATAAATAAATAATTTTTTTTTTCACGTCGGTTGTGTCGTAAAAGACTTAACCCTTCCAACATATTGAGTTGAGTAAAAGGCCGTCGAATGCCAAAAAAAAAAAAAAAAATGATGAACCTGATTTAAATGAATAGATTTCAATGGCGGAATCATCATCATCATCATCATCATCAATCTTTCTTCTATGAAATATGTTTTTACGTGTATAAAATTTTTTTTTTTCTGGTTCATCTTTATTGTTATTATTATTATTACAACTACCTGAGCCTTCAATCAACTTATTATCTTTTTTATCACGCATCGAATGATTGGATTCGAATAAATATTTAATTAGGCAAAGCAAAGAAAACAAGAGAAGGAAGGGGAAGAGGAGGAAGAAGAAGAAGAAGACAAAAAAGACGAATAAGGAAAAAAAGAAAAAAAAAATTCAAAAGTCTGTTGCGATGTTGTTGTTAATTAATTAAAATTCTTTGTTTGCGTTTGTATGTAATCATCATCATCATCATCATCATCATCATCATTATTATTATGTAAGAGGGAATAAAAAAAAAAAAAAAATCCGTTACAAAGAAAAGAAACAAATTAGAAAAGAAAAGAAAAAAAAAACCATTATTCGAAAAAAAAAAAGAAAAACCCTAAATAGTCGAAACAATCTCACCGAAAATAATTTTCTTTTTAACCGCCTTTTTTTTTCATTCTCTTTCCTCTCTTTCTCTCTTCTACCACTTTTTCCTCTTCGTCTTCCTCCTACTTTTTTTTTTCTTCTGCTTTACAAAAAAAAAATACGGGAAAAAAATTTCACGAAGAAAATGATGTTTTATGAAAACGAGGTTTTCCTTTTTTTTTTTTTTCTGCTGAAAAGGTTTTTTTTTTCTTTCTCTTTCTTTCTTTCCGCGTTCAACTAATGCCGGCATTTGCTTAATTAAAAATTCACTGTTTGTTTTTAATACTTTAAAACATCAGAGACCAACATCGGGTGAGGTGGGCTGGGGGGAAAAAGAAGTTTTTAGTCAAAAATTTTTTTGAATTATTGAAAAAATTTTCTCGAACGGTTTTTCCACGGTGTGATTTTCTAGGTACGTTTATTTTCTTTTTTTTTTTTTAACCCGGGATGGCTGGAGGAAAGAGAGGATGTGGTCGGTTGGTCGGTGGATCGGTTGAAAAGAATGCGAGAAGAAGAGAAAAGGAAGGAGAGAGAGAGAAAAAAAGGGTTTCTTTCCATTGTGTAGAAAGAGAGAGAGGGGGGGAAATACTGCACTTTTTTTTTTGGTTAACCCTCACTTGGAGTAGAAAGAAAGAAAAAAAGAAAGAAAAAAAAAAAACTTTTTTTGTTTAACCGTTAAATTTTTTAATTAGTGTTATTACTTTTTTATTTAATTTTCGAAAATTAATTTTTTTCCCTTTTTTTCCCTCCTTTTTTTTTTTTGGGGAGGGGGAGGGAGGAGGCAAGGGAAATCATCATAAAATTTAAATGATTTAAAATTTTTTATATTGAAACGTAAAAATTTGTTAATTAATAATTTAAAAAAAAAAAAAAAAAAAAAACGCGCCTGACGATACCTGGTTATGCAAAAAGTAATTGAGTATTGCTTTAATTTAAATCTAACTATCCCAATAATTGGATTGTTTTGTTTACATTCCCGTTCGGCCTTGGGTGGGTACCTGGTTTTGTTGTTTAAAAATCGCAGCAGTCCCTCGTGGAACAATTGAAACGCGTACAAAAAAAAAAAAAAACTCAATGGCGTAAATAATGACGGAAACGAGGAAATGGACGAGATAGCTGTCGTGACAACCTTCGCGAGGCTATTGAAAATAAAATTATTATTATTATTATCATCATAATAATCGTTATCCGATGGTCGTAACGTATCATACGATTTCAATAACGTTTGTCAATTAATATCGCAAATCCCTCTTTTTTTCAACATGGCGTAGAAGTTGTTTTTTTTGTAACAAATAAACAATGCGGAGTCATCAAAGGACAAAATAAAAACGAAACACGAACGTCGCGTTTGTTCGATAAAAAAAAAAAAAAAATTCTTCCGCGTTCTCTACTTACCTGTTGAAAAAAAAACTCACGCCGCCGCCTTTATCCGTCACGATTTTTCGTTAACTGGTGGACGTAAACAAAAAAAATTAAATGAATGGAAATAATAGAGTGAGAGAGAGAGAGCGATGAAGAAAATCATTCGGATACAAAAACAATCGAGATCGAAACGTCGATATTTTGCAAACGTAAACAAACAAACAAACGAACGAACGAACGTATTTGAACCCGAACGTATGATAAAGAAAAGTTATCGAACTGAAAAAAAAAAGAAAATTATCTCCATCTTTAATTTGAATTTTTTTTTTTTTTTTTTAGCAGACGACATTTTATTTTTTTCGCCGCGAAAACGGCCGGAAGTTACCGGTAATTTTCAACGGGGTTTTTTTTTTTTTTGACTTTCTTGTTCGGAAAAACCTCCTCGATAAAATAACACCGCCACCTCGAACGTTTATTTTCTTTTCATTTTCTTGGTAGATTTATTCTCGTGTGCTCTGAGAACGACATGATTAATGGATTAACTTTTCTTTCTTTTTTTATTTTATTTTTAGTTGACATTTTATTACATAAATACAACTGCGGCATAATACTTGTTGAAAATCGTTCGGGAGGAAAATAAACCTCAAAATAAATTTTTAATAATAAAAAAAAAAAAAAGGAAATGAAACCTTAGAAAAAAAAAATGTAATTTTTATCGTTGTCAGGTATTTGGATTTTTCAAAATCCGTCGCGGATTCAAGCGTTCTATCCGAGGACGCGTACCAAAGAGACATTGATCAAATAAGCATTTCTTCGGCAACTTCGAGCACGAGCGGACCTTCAATGAGGGATAAAAGATTGATTGCATCTGATTATAGCGGGAGCTACGTTCCCATGGGTCCCGGATCAATGCCGAGCCCAGGATCGACCGGTAGCAAAGTATCGGTGAGTTTAAATTTATAAAATGTATGAGTGAAAAGAGAGAGAGAGAGAGAGAGAGACAGAAAAAAGAGGCGGAAGTGCGTCACACTTTTTTTTTTACAGCCGACTCCTCCGAAAAAACCACCGCGAAGAAATTTATCCGTTTCTCCGACTCATTTATCTCCGAACGTTTCGTTGCCATCGCCAAGCGCTTACGAGTACCTGTATTTAGCCCGGAGCGGAGATGAAATGACGTCAAATCGAAAACCGGAAATGTTACGAAGGGGGAAAAGCGCGGATCAGTACGAAGTCATGAAGCTGCGTCAAAATTACATCGCTCCGATTGACATCGAAGAATTGAAAAATTCGCCGATTTTCCAGAGGAGAAAAAGCGAAGATTCTGGAAAAGTTTTGAAAGACATACAAGAACCCGTGGCTCTCACAATGTTCTACGACAACATTCAAGTTCGCACGACGAATCCGCGTAGGAAATTACGTCGAAATCCAAACGATCGAGATAGAGTTTACGAGAATTTCGAGCCCGCCTTTTTGTCGAGTTCGACTATGACTCCGACTGATGCGAACAACGAAAACAATCGAACGTACGGAGCGAACGCTTCCATCACATTGAATTCTTCCCAGGAAAGTTTGCTCGATGACAATAGGAAAAAAATCAAAACGCCCGTCGACGGTGGTAAAAACGGAATGACGAAAATGATTTGTCCGTTGAGTCCGACGAATTATCAACAACCACCGACTCCCGATCATCCGCCTCCGTCGGCACTGCAAGCGGAAATCAGCATACACGAAAGGATAAGACCTCTGAGCCAGGTAAGAGGAAACGATCATTTTAGTAACTTTTTTTTTTTTCGTCTGCTCATTTTTCGACCGGAAATTCGTCATTTCCCATCGACAACCGATTTCCGGTCGATGATATTATATATTGGTTAGTGTTCGCGAACTCATTTTTGGAAGATTCTTTCGAATCACATTATTTACGCCGTACATTTATCTCTCTCTCTATTCTTTTTCTCTCTCTCTTTTCCGTAAAAGATTTTTTTATTCATTTGGTTTCCCCCCCTCTCTCTCACCGCCACCGTCCCCCTCGTTTGTCGATGCGAAAAATGAAAATGAAACAAAAAAGTTTTTTTTTTCTTTCCGTTTTCATTCTTATTTATTAATTATCATTAAGTTTTGATGTCTGACGATGAAAAAATAAAATGAAAATAAATAAAAATAAATAAATAATAAAGTGGTAAAAGTGAAAAGAAAAATAAAGAAGAAAAAGAAGAAGAAGGAAAGGAGGAGGAGGAGAGTCTCGGTAAAGGAAATGAAAATATTTTCGTGGAAAAACTCTTTTTGAGCTGTTTGTTCATTAGTTTTGTTTTTCCTTTTTTTTTTTTTTTTTTGAAAAAAATTTTCAACCGACAGAAAACTTATTGAAGGAATAAATTTATATAAAGAAGAAGAAAAAGGAGAAAAAGAAAAAGTAGGAGAGAAGGGAGAAAAAAAAAAGAAAACTGTGTGTATGTGTGTACATGTATATAAATTTAAAGGTTCGAAACTAAGGAGTTGAGTTTTCGCATACCGCAAAAAAAGAAAGAAGAAAAAAATGTGTGGGTAGAAAGTACGAAGGAGATTAATAAAAGAGAGAGAGAGAGAGAAAATGTGGGGAGTCGATGAAATAAAAGAAAATAAAAGAAAAGAAAAACTCAGCCTTTTTCATTTCGGAAAATGTTTCGTTTATATAAAAAAAAAAAAAGTTTTTTCTCTTTCGTCATCGACGGTGGTGGAAAACTCTTCGGGGTTGTTTTTCTTCTTCTTCTTCTCCTTCCGGTTCAACAAAAATTATTTTGTTTTTCTTTTTCATTTGACGTTTACCTTTTTCCGAGAATTTTCGGAAAAGTCTCTCTGTAAAAGGTTTTCTTTTTCGAAAAACCAACTCCTTCGACTTAATGCTCTGCGTTTTTACGTTTACCACTTTCCCCCTCCCCTGCCCCATTCGCGAATTTTCTCAAACCTTTTTTCTTTTTGTTTTCATTTCTCGGTAATTTTTTTTTCAAGGATTTCCAAAGGAAAGGGAAACTCTGCGACGATTTTTCTTTTAATTATTACTTCAAACGAGTCTTTTCAAAAAATGAACTTTTTGTTTACTTTTTCTCTTCTACGAACGGGATTTTAAGGTTCGCGTTCGATTCTTTTCGTTGAATTTTTGACGTCAAAGGTTGTTAATCGAATAAAAGGAGGAATAACGAAAAAAACATCTCGTGTCATTATCCTTTTTGTTTAAAACGAAGAACTCGTTATCAATTTTCTAGGTTTTTCATTTGCCACAAAAAAAAGAAACCAACCACTCGATAATTAACCTAATTTTTTTTTTTGTAACGTAAAAAAGAAGTGGAAGAAAAAACCGTCGTGGCACGACGCAGGTGCATAAATAACACGAAGACCCATTAAATTAAGTTGCGTAATTATAAATTTAACCGGAGTCCATTTTTTTTTTTTTTTTAATACAACAAACGCAAAAGTGGTCGTTTATGGTCGGAATTTAACTTTGGTTTTTTTTTCGAGTTTGACGACCTTAAACCAGGTATCGGTCAATATATCGGACGAAGGTTCACTGATCTCGTGATATAATTAACGCTTTCGAAAATTATTTAGAACATTAAATAATAATAATTATTATATTATAATATTTTAGAGGACGTTATAATGCTCTCTCTCTCTCTCTTTTTCAGAGAGAGAAAAACAATTTGGAAAATTATTATTATCGGTGAATTTTTACTCTTCTTCTTCTGCCACTTTTCCCCGTTTAAAAAAAAAAAAAAAGTAAGAAATTATTTTTTTTTGCAGCAAAGTTTTTCGTTGATCCGTAATAATGTTAAATGTTATTGTTTAAATGTCGTTTTTGCAGTGGCAGAAGATGATGAAAATTCTGCGGAAACGTTAGTCTGTCGTTTTTTTGGCAAAAAAAATTCGTAGAAAATTGTTTTTTTTTGGTTTTTGAACTTTGAAAATGTTAGTATAAAACCTTTCGTAGTCGCGGGTAACCTTTCAGTTTTCTCATCGTGGTTCCAACCGTTCGTTCTTTACCGGTCATGCAAATTTGTAATTATATTTTGTATTTGGTGGGTTTGTCGTCGTGTCCTGTCGGAAAATCGGAACCTTTAATTTTTTCACCCGGTCCGGGATCGTCGTCGTCATCATCGAATAAAAAGAAAAAAATGTCTTCTTTTTTTAAAATCGAAATAACGGAAGTGAGTTCTTCGGACGAGGTGAGAGTTCGCGATCGTCGCGAAAAAAATTTTTTTTTTTTTTTTTTTTTTTTAATAATGAAAAATTTTGTTTTTTCGCAGGAGTACAAAAGGAGGTCGCGAGACATAGAAACGGAAACGGAAGAAGAATTGTTACTGTATCCGGTTTCGTTGGATTCGAGCGGAAGTTTTTCCAGCAGCGTTTCTTTGAGCGACAAAAGCATTTCGACTGATAACAACGTCGAAGAGTACATCGGAGACGTACCGTTTGCCGGTAAGCGTGTCACCAACTTTTTTTTTTTTTTTTTTTTATACTTCAAAATGTCGTAAATTTGTCATCGTTTGCTTTTTCACACGTACGTATACACGTGTCACGTTCGTTTGTTGGCTTCGTCCAAAAAAGAAATTCAAAATAATTTTTTTGTCGTTTGTTGCTTTTGCTTTTGACGCGAATGGATATAACCAAAGTTTTAAACCGGAAATGCAATCGTTTCCTATTCAGAAAAGGATTCCGTTACCTTCATATTATATATGAAGCATCCTTGTCGCGATGAACTTTTACGTAATCGTAAATAATAAAAAAAAATGGTTTTGGACGAAAAAGGAAATCGCGCCTAAAAAAACGCGTAAAAATATTTTATTAGAAAAATTTTAGTGGGCTCGCACACGCACACGCACACGCATGATAAATAACGACGAGTAGTAGTACCTTAAACTTTATAATGTCGAGAAGGTTAACATAGTAATCAGGTGTTTATCGCGGTTTTTTTTTTTGTTTAACTTTTTCGGAGCCAGAAAAGTCTGATAATCTCCGTTAAAGTGGGAGTCTGGTAGGCACCGAACACGCGGCGACTCCCAAATTAAGAAGACGAGATGGCGGGGGGAAGGGGGAAACGTTGTTTGTTGTTGTTTGTTTGAATAATGGGTAAAAAAGAAGGGAACGAAAACGGTTCCGAACAACCCCCAACACAAAAAGATGATGAGTTGATTTCGATTTCGTCTCCTCAAAGGATTTCCGGTTTTGTCTCTTTTTTTTTTTTTGTTGGAACGCCTCCATCGAAAGAAAAGGAAAAGTGAAAGGTGAAAGGTGAGCCGCTTTGGGGTTTTTTTTTTTTTTGCTTTTCACATCAGTGTATAATAATTATCCGTTAAAAGTCAATCAACCTTTTGGTCTGTGGGGGCGGCGTGAATTGTTTTTTTTCTTTTCGAGTTTGGCGACGGTTTTTCGGTTTTGACATTTAACAAGTTCACCGCCTTGACACATTTTTTTTTTTTTATATAAAGAAAAAGAAATTAATAATAATAGCAACAATTAAAAAACAAGAGGTGAAAGAGAAGGGTTCTTACGATAATAATAATAATAACAATAATGATTACTTTGTTTTTATGTGTAGTCGATTGTTATGGAAACGTTTAAAATTTCAAACGCCTACAACAACAACAAAAACAACAACAACCTTTTTTTTTTTGCGTCGAATCGTTGGTTTCGATTTCGAAACGATTTTGTTTTTGTTTTCCATTTGTCGAAATGATCGAATTAAACCTTTTGGGAAAATTGAAATTTATTATTATTATTATTTCGGAAAGCCGTTTCGAGAGCGAACGAACGCGAAAGTTGGGCATAATATTAATTTTTTCGTTGTTATCATCCGTTTCCGTTCTTCACTGTTCCCTCTCTCTCTCTGTCTCCATTTTGTTTTTTCTTACCATCGTGCGTTACGGATCCGCGGGCGTTAATTAGGTAATAAATTATCATTAGTTTGTAAAAAAAAAAACGAACGAAGAATCCGCGATGGTGTCCTTATGGCAACCCATACCTCGATTGATTCATTCTATTCTTCGAGCTGTTTCGATTTGGGTTTTTTTTTTGGGGGGGCTCATTAAATTTTACACGAGTCGTAAATTTTAATCGTTAAGGGAGTAATAGTTTTTTTTTTCTCGAACTTAGTGCCGCTTTTGAGGAGGAGGAGGAAAAAATAGGAGTCGCGGGGCCGGAAAAGTCGTCGTGTTCGACGACGATTTTCCCTGCCGTGAAACGCCTACAGCAAAGTAGGCGATTTTAAATATTTAATTATTATGTAATTTTTTTTTTTTCGTTGGCTATCCGACGTTGACTACCATCTAATATGTGGTAGGAAAAAAAATATTTTATGAGAATTTTTCAAGGTCAAGTTCGCGTTTTTATTTTCTTTAAAACGTTTCCCTTGTTGAGGTGCGAAGAAGAAAAATTTCAAATTCGAAAATGAAATTAACGAACGAATTTTTTTTGCTGGAATTTTTTTTTTTGCTGGAATGATCGAATGAAATGAAAAGTACCTTGAAAATTTCTTTCTTTCGTGCTACTATTTCCAGTTTTTTTTCACTTTTCATTCTCGTCGGATAAGGTACGAACGACGGGTCGAATAAAAGATTTCCGTAATAAAATGGCGGGATGAAACTAAATGAACATGTTTTTTTTTTTTCTTTTTTTTTTTAATTTTTATTACTATCATCGTGATGTATTTTAACCGGATTGTAGTCGTGGCGCCAGAGAATAAAAAAAATGAGAATAAAGAAGGAAGAAAATGAAAAAAAAAAAAGGTTCGCGCTATCGATTTCATATTATAGTCATCATCGATCGTCGGGTCGACGTGGATTTTTATTTATTTATTTATTTATTTTGATTTCTCTCTCTCTCTCTCTCTCTTTTTATGGACTCCAGTCACGATTCATTCGTTTCTATTGGTGTTTTATTATTATTATTATTATTACTTTTTTTTTTCTTTCTTCGTTTCGACGTGTCATCGTCGTCGTCGTCGTCGTCGTCGAACGTCTCGTCGCATATACGGGATTTATTATTACGGTGAATGTTTTTTCTTTAAACCATCTGACAATTATAGCCATCATTCAAAAATTATGTTTTCACCTTCTTCGTGATTTTTTAAATTCAAGTTCGTTGACCTTTCTCATCAATTGTGTTTGGTTGTCGTTGTCGTTGTCGTCGATTGTTATTGTTGTATTGGTGAGCTCTGGGGTTTTTTTTTCTTAATGAAATGAATTTGAATTTATTTATTTTTCCAAATCGATATCCTATTGTTAACCTCGCATTTCTTTTTTTCATACTACCTTCATCGCGTGATGCTACGAATCGAGACAAAAAAAAAAAGAATGAAAACCGTTCGTTTGTTCGTTTGTCGAAAATTTTTTAAACGGGTTTTTAACCCGAGTCATTTTTTTAATATTTTTTTTTTTGAAAGGAAATAAACATTGTTATTATTATTATCATCATCATCATCGTAATTCGACGCGGTTATTTCGGTATATGTGTCAACGACAAGAACAACAACGAAAAAAAAAAAAACAAACAAACAAACAAACAAAACAAAATATTTTTTGTTGCGTGTGACATTGACGCATTATTCAGGCTGTAAAATTTTTATACTTTAAAAGGGAATTTGTTTTATTTACAAAATAACAACAACAACAACAACAAGAAAAATAATAATGATAATTGTGTTAAATTAATAATATTTATTTCAAAATCCAACACACAATCAAATTATTTACGTAATGGATGTTTGAGTTTTATAATAATAATAATTATTATTATTATTGTTATTGTTATTAATATAACAAACTGAAATTCAAGATCGATTGAAAAACAAAACAAAATTCATTCGATGGTGACGTTGTGACGTGTTTGGTTGCCGTTTGTCGAAAAACGAAACATTTTTGATTGTCCCCCGTACAGTTCAAACAGGTAGTCGCGATGACGAAAAAAAAGGTAGCTCATCGGAAGTCGTTATCATTGTTAAAATTCGATTCGAGATATTGTTCGAGTTCCCCTCCACCCCCCCTCGTGCATGGATTTGTTCTATAAAAAATCTATCTAACGAACGAACGAACGAACGTTTTTTTTTTTTTCTTTTTTTTTCTCCGTCGTCGTAATCGAAACGACGGATATCAATGAGATAAATTTAACTTTGTTCAGAACAGGTTTGAACACGTTTCGAAAAAGAAAAAGAGACGAAAAACAGTAACGGAATCCGTTTGAAAAGAATATTGTTCGAGAGTAAATTTTTATTTAATCGATAGATAGATAAAAAAATTATCAAGTTTCACGCGTTCACGCCTTATTATTATTATTGTTGTTGTTGTTGTTGTTGTTGCTTGGTGAACGGGGAAAACGATACGTTGCCATGTGTTTTGATTTTGTTGTGTGTGTGTGCGTGCGTGCGTGTGTGTGTGAACGTGATGATGTGAGGGTGATGGATGTGGTGATCTTATGTCCGACAAAAGGTTCTGTCGGTTATTTTCCATAACGTCGATCGTCGACCACATCGAGTTCAGGGAAATTCGCGGTGATGGATTTGTGTGACGTCATCAAATCACGTGTGGTATCGTTTTAGGATTGGTAGGGGTGGGTGGCATTAACGAGTGATGCCAAAAAAAGAAAATTTTTTTTTTTCCTTCTTCGAATTCTAGAAAGATTTTCTAAACGATGCGTTTTCGTCGTTTTCAATGACGTATTTTAATTTCATTGTTAGAAAAAAAACGTCGTCATTTCCTTTTACTATTTATATTATCTCATTAGACGAGTCTGTGCGTGTCTAAGCACATTATTAAAATTAAAAAGGTCACGTACCTTAAACGAACAGAAGATTATTAAAAAAAACATTCGATTTTTTTTTTTTCAGGTATGTTTTTTTTTTTTTTTAACTTGACTTAACGCGTCGCGTCGCGTTCGTTTTCAATTTTATTTATTTATTTTTATTAAATTAAATTAATGGCCGTTGTGGATGTTGGTGATGATGATGATGATATCGTTTCGAATCGTTGTTTGTTTTATTTCATCTTATTCCTATTTACCATTTTTGTTTTTTGTTTTCCCTTTTTTTGAACGTTTGTTTGTTTGTTTGTTTGTCAACATTAATAAACGATTATTACATAATAAGTTGTTACATGATGAGTTTATTAACGAAGATGACGAGGACGACGACGACGACGACGACGACGCAAAAAAAGGAAAAAATTCTTTTCGTTTTAACGAATTAAATTACAATTTTTGCAAATCATTACGTTACGTTCATATTCGTTGTGATGATAATAATAATAATAATAATTATAGGTATCATCATTATCAGGTTTCGTTAATGTTGAAAAAAAAGATTTTGAAAATTTTTTTTTTGGCGGGAAAATTTGAGCCAATCAATTTTTTTTTTTTTTTTTTTTGAAAAAGTGTTTACAAAAAAAAAAAATTAACAACGTTCGGGGGGAGTTTTGATGACGTCAAAACTTGGTTCTTGCATTTTGCCCTCCCCCCATCCCCTCTCTCTCTTGTCTTTCTCATTCCTGATCTTTTGTCTCTTTTCTTCTTCCCGGTGGAAAATCTACGGTTTCAAAATATTCTGCAATTGTTATTTCTATGCATGCGTTCGTCGGTCGGATTTGAATAAATGTAAATAATAATATATGATGATGATGATGATGATAACAACGACGACGTTGAATAATAATAATAATAATGGTAACGATAATTATGAAACGTTTTTTATTTTTTTTCGGGGGGTGGGGTTTTCTATTTTCACGATGCATTTTAAACTTTTTGACCTGATGAGAAAGAAAAAAACGTTCGCGACCTTTTTTCCATTTTTTTTTTTTATCTTCGAAAAAAAAAAAAGTTAAAAATTATGCGATAAACCAGACGCATCTGGTAAATTGGAAAAGATAAAAAAAAATGAGAGAGAGAGAGAGAGAGAGAGAGAGATAGACGTATGGTCGGATGGAAAACGGATGGTCGAATGGATGAACGGATGAACGAACGAATGGATGGATGGATGGATGGGCGGATGAGATGAAAAATAATAATAATAATAATACGGAAGAGAAAAAAATAAAATAAAACAATAATAATAATAATAATAATATAAAAAATAATAATAATGATGATGATAATAACGATAATTAAGGAGCGTAACTTTTTAAATTTTCAATTACAATTATTATTGTGAATTTTTACACACGCACGAATCGTTCATAATTTTTTTTTTTTTTACGTAAACCGTCTTGCCAACCACAGGTGAAAGCGAACACCGTTT